TCAGTATTTTATGAGCATTTTATTAAGGCGCTTCAAAACTACGTCGACGTTACTATCTGAAAACCTAATGACGTCGCGTGCGTCAAATTCAGATACCAAACATTCTTGATTTTTTTTTTAAATAGTCTTACTCATTTTGACACATTTTGACCCAAAAATAAACTTGAGAAAATTATTTTTTTCTTCAAAGCAACTAGTATGTAATTATTCCTAAGGAAAATCTAGTTCATATATTTTAGAGCAGATCTAGTAATTTCGTAAAAGGGGGTGGGGGTCTAGACAGGATCTAGAAACGGTTTATATGCAGTCGAAAAAATGACACTTGTCCAATTCCACACATGGTATTCTTTTTATATTTAATACTCTAGCAGTGGCGTAGATGCCATTAGCACTTAAGGCACGTGCCTACACTTAATTTTTTCAGAAAAAAAACTTAGAGACAAAAATGTAAAAAAGAAAGAAAATAAATGACAAAATATCATTTTCGCCATCAATTGCTATAGAGATCATGAATGTATAAATAATCAACGATCTGTGCAAAGTAATAATAAGCCATTTTATAAGAAGTCCTACAGTGAAACAGATAGTTAACTAACTGTTTCACTGTAGGACTTCTTATAAAATGTCTTGAAAATTTCTATATGCAAGTACATGTAATTAAATATAGATAGAAAACTCCCCTGACGCTCACAGGTTATGTTATGTGTGGTATTAATTTTCATTTTAATTAATAATTAATTAATTTGAATTAACAGCAATTAACTTTTTTTTATGGCTGTCCACCCGAATTTACCACTTCTTTGTGGGTAGACTAGTTTTTTTGTGAAAAAATAATTATATTTGTTGAATATTTATTGTAAAACATTGCTTTTTGTCTGATTATTTTTGAATACTTTTTTAAATAACTTTTTTCATCATGTTCTAAATTTGATTAAGTCGAAAAAATATGAAAACCCTTCTAACTAAAGATTTCTGGTTAAAAAGTTGGACAGCACTTTCTGAGCATTTCTACTAAAATATGAGATTTCATTTTAAAAAGACTCAAAATTTTTATGTATTTTAAACGCCCAGAATTTGTCACCCAGGGGTCTCAAAATTGTGAAATCCATTTTCCGCCGGGGGTTCGCCCCTGAACCCCCTACCACTTGTAACATTAGAACATTAAAAAAAAAAACTTAACAGATGTCCCATAGAGAAAGGAGAGATCCAACCCAAAGAAGGCCACCGTGCGCAAAACGGGGCATCCCCTCGCAAAAGAAAAAAAACCCATTGATCCCGATATAAAATATATATTATTTTCGAGTATAAGCACGCATTCACTTATCCACAAACACGCGCGTTACTTTATCCCCTCTAACTTTGTTACGAGGAGATAATAACACCCCATGTATTTTCTGTATCACCGAAGAATTCTAATGGGAAATTAATTCAAATACACCAAATGTGTAAATTTTTTTTTTTGTTGTTGTTGTTGTTGTTGTTGTTGTTGTTGTTTTGTTTTGTTTTGTTTTGTTTTTTTACACATTTATTCCGTTCATAAAAAGTCATAAATAAAGAAAAAGTTCGCTACTACTAAGCGGATTTTTTTTATTAACGTTTTTTAAATACTTTAATAAAAAAAAGTTTAAATAATTAAGTTTCCATTGTCCATACAATTCATGATCAATTACTTCGCCTGTACAGTTATGGAGTAGAAAGATTAAAAAGAGGCACATAGTAATCTCAAAGGATTGTCATATAAAAGTTTATTCAGTGAAAATTGAAACTTTTTGTCAACTTCTTTTTTAAGTAAATCACATTTAATCAAAAGCATTTATAAATGCTTCTGTACTTTGATCTTTTTTTTCTTTTCTTTTTTTTTTCTTTTTTTTTTAGGCCCTGTAGCTTCGACGCTACTGCTGTATCACTTGGACACAAGAATAGTGCATCAGTTCTTGAAAAGGGCCGTTTCTGTTATCTCAATAAGAAAACATATGGAATTCTTTCCTGTAAAAAACAGATTCTTAATGAATTGGCAAAGTTCTCGCTATCATATTGCAAGGTACTAATTCTCACCTGCTGGACATACAAATATAGCCGGCAGTCAGATGACATATTTAAGCTTATTAAAGCTCGACATTTCAATCCTATAGAAAAATAAAATTCCTTGTAACATTGCGCTTCGCATGAAATTATAACCTCTCTGGATTCCTGGAATTGATAAATCTCGTCAGATATTAACAACTCATGTTATTGCAAGTCAATAATAACAACGATTGTCTGGTTCCCAACTCAGATTTACGGAGAGTTCTTTAAAACAAAGAGATGATTGTACTGCTCATGGCTCTTTTTTATATATGCACACTAAACCGGGCTGAACTTATCTGTGCGAATTGAAGTACAGTTGCATTACAATTTTTTATGAAATCTATTTGAAATTGAAACTGAATATCTTGCAAGACTTGAAGATATTTTTACGCAATTAAGGCCATCTATTCATCTTCCACTGTGACATCAGCTATATCCTGACACCTAAGCTTTTCATATTTCGATGCGATGAAATGTACATACAATCATGTATAAGTCTTAACCAGTAATTAAATATTAAGTCAACCACATGTGTATACTTTTTTGCATGAGGCGATGCGGTTAAGCAATATCCCACTGAATGTTTGAAACTCAACCGGTCCGCTCTAACGTGACTCTCTTCACAGGCGAATTAGTATCTGCTTTCGTCCTGAAAGCTAAAGGTAAAATAGGCAAACCATTTTTCCTAGTTATTGTTTCAAAAAAAAAAATTCTTTGAATCTCAAAATTAAAGAACATGACTCGTATTTTTGATTGCTATGACACAACTGGATTTTTTTTCTTTAAAAGCAGAAAGGTGTGAGTGTTTGTTTTTAAAATCATTTTCCTTAAAGTCATATACAGGTATAAACTTCAGTATCCCGGCATCAACAGAACTTCAGAAAATATCAAAATATCCGGGGTATCGAGATATCAGAGTTGAGACACGACGTCCAACATTTCAACGAGAAACGTGACTAATTTATTACATACATGACTTCTTTATAGTCAGTAAAAAAAAAAAATGCTTCCTTACATATTTCACGGTCATCAAAGTTTTACGTGAACCTCCGTTTTTTCCCGTTCTAAACATCACCAGACGAGTGCTTTTATTCTTTATCTTTCTCAAAATGTAGATTTCTTGATTGTCTTTGTTGTCGTACGATTGGTGTTAATGTGGTTGATGATTTTGAACATTTTCATAACATCTGAATATGACACTCATAACCACTTGTTACTAGTACTTTTTCTCTATCAGTGATTTATTCTCAAAAGATGTCGCCAATTCAGCATTTATCAGAAGTTCGTAATTTCTTTTGAACTTAATCTATTGTTTAATCTGTTGTTTCTTTTGTATGTTTCATAAATACTTTCAATCATAATATCACTGGCGATGGAACTGTTATTATCTTCAACATTGAGTATAATGCTGCTGGAAAAAGTCCACATTACCTGTTAATAATATTCCAAAACATATAGCAGTTCAATTTCAAGCCGGCTTTTATCGGAACAATTTAAGAAAATTGATAAAATAGTAATATTTGTCAGAGACTACTTTTTTAATGTATTTGTTTGATTATTGCAAAATTGTTTTTTTAAGCAAAATTTTCGTGGCACCCACTTCCTCCGTTTTTTTTTCCTTAGCATAATATTCTCTTGCTGTTAATTTAGTATAGAATTAATTATATAAGCCCCCCCCCTCCTTATTTGTTGTTGTAGTAGGAGGTTCGAATCTTCCATGTTACCAGTATCTATATCCTAAGAAAGATGGATTCACTTTTTTAATTTGAACTTTTACCGGTTGCCTTCTTATTCAGAGATTTTTTTGGCTTGTCGATTACCCCCCCCCCCCCCCCCCCCCACACACACACATTCGGAAATCGGCGCTTCATCCTGAGTTGGTCTGTGCATATCAATATGTTTAACTATGGAATAAAATTAAAATGACTTAATACATTTTACATGTAGGTATTTTTCAAAATGAAGAAGCACTTATAAAGAACGAATATTATTGAATTGATTTCTCTCTCTCTCATTCTCTGTCTATCTTTGAAAAAATATAAACGTTTATGTAGAATACTTTTTTAATATTAAGACTACTTAATATGAGTCAAATTTAAGCATTTGCAATTTGCCCAGAAAACAAATATACAGCATCTTTAGTTGTGCGTAATGTACAGACATCGCTATAAATCGCTCTACATACAATGCGTTCAAAATCACGTTGAGATTAATTATGTGATATCAAGTTAATTAAATACTTAAAAAGAATTATGAATGAATGCATATACTAAATAGTAACAATATAATTTATTAAAAATTTCCGTATCATATTTCATATAATTTGATTGGGGAGGGGGGTACGCTTGGAAATCCAATTTTATTTCTTGTTCACGACGCAGTCAACAAAAAAAAAATACTTCCGTGTTTTCAATACTGCAACTTTGACGTCGTTTTCTGTGCATTGTGACGTCAAAAGATAAGGGCCCTTTTCTCATGACGGCAGTCATATCATATTATGAATATTTCAGAGACGATCGACGAGAAAGCCTTAGATCCATACTCCATTTTAGTGCAGTACACAAAATCAAGGCAATCCATTAGGCGATGGCAACCAACCACAGCATTTGTATGGGGTTTATACCTGCTGTACAAACCTTTAGTGTAGAAGTAAGCTAGTACTAAAGGTACATATTAGTATGAAAACCTAAAGGTTAACGCAATTTTACATTATTATTAACGTTTTATTTGATAAGGATACTCTCTGAATCAATATAGAAGACTGAGATTACTTTTTGTTCAAACAGACTGAATGACCAGGCATATAGCACAGTGATAGCCAAAAATAGAACATGAAAGGTACAGATAATATGACACAAAAATTGGAGGGGTGAGAGAGTAATTAAATATCAAGCCCTCGATGACTACGTGCCTAAATACTTATCTCTCACTTAAAGGCATTAATCTCTTCCTAAGGTGTCCTTATATTCGAGAGTATTTATTTATAGCTACCCTGTCTGTTATGCAAAGATAATATATTTGCCTGTGGATATTTTGTTATTGTTGTTTAGGTATGTATGTATTTCTATAATTTTATTTTATATTGATCAATTGTGAAATGTAACATGTTAAAATTATAATAAGAACACATGTTTTTAATTGTTTTACAATAAATAAGTATTAAGTCCTAAATTTTGCACTTTCGAATCAATATTTCGCCATGTAAATTCAATTCACGTTAGATATATAAGACATTTACCTGTATATATTGTGGCATGAAAACAAGAATTAATTCAATAAGGAATAAAGACAAGGAATTGTCCTTAATATTCTGAAGTTTGCAATCTCTTTCTTCAATGATGAAATAAAAAATCTTCCGTATAAAAATGATATTAAAAAAATACTAGTGCTAATATATGATATTATTTTATTTGTGTTTGTAAATATTAAGCAAATGTATACAGTTGAGCCTCATCAATTTGGACGCTTGTTTTCCCATGTTAATCGTCCGAACCAATGAAGCATACTTTTATATTTGGAAGTTATAAATGTTAATTCGTTACGATCGAAAGGTAAAGTATCTGGATGATTCGTGTACAGATAACCGAAGTTCAACTTATTCTAAGAGATTTCTATTTCAGAGCTTTTTTTTAAAAGTAATGAAGGCTCTGTTGAATGAGAAAGGGAAACCATATGTAGAAGTGCTGGAGCATGATGGGTATTATTTTCCAGACCAATTAGGAGCTCAAAAGAATGTAAATGTCCCAGAGTTCCTGGCTGGCCTTAATGAACTCAATTTTAGAGATGACGAAATATGCGTAGTTTCGTATCCAAAGTCAGGTTAGCAAATCTACTTTCTATATATAATTATGTTCCCTAAGCGATGTTTAAGAATACATGTTTTAAACTTTTTTTCCTTATTTCTACTTCGGTACTTTTTTGTCTTTTTTCTTTCCTTTTCTTTCAAATACCTTTAGTATTATATGTGTATTTAACACGTAGGTATATGTCATGAGATATTATAACAAGATATATTCGAGAAATAAGGAAACAATTCTCACACGTGCTTGAAATTTGGTTAGATGAAGTTGTAAAGAGTTATTACGTTTGTAACAGGAAGTAGAACTCTTTAATAGATAAATCAACAAAGTTAATAGCCAACTTGGCTTAAAGTGGTACTACCCTAACAAAAAATACTATAGTAAACTATGGTTAACTATAGTTTACTATAGTTAACTATAGTAAATCAAAGTTCCAAAGTTTTTACTTTAGTAAATCAAAGTTCCAAAGTTTTCACTAAAGTAAATCAAAGTTCCAAAGTTTTCACTAAAGTAAATCAAAGTTCTAAAGTTTTCATTATAGTAAATTAATCAAAGTTTTTTTTTCATTTGTTTAATAACTTATGTATTTTTATAAATTCTTTTCGATTATTCAGCCGTTTTAGGGGAGGGGGTGTTTATGGGGTTGGTTGGGGCTGTTTTTTTTTGTTGTACATCTTTATTTAAATATACAAAGTAGATAATTCGAATGCAAATATTTACATTAATAAATTTAAAAAAAAAATACATGTTGACTGAAGTTGATGAAGCAGTTATTTTAATTCTAAATGACACACTTTTTTTTATAATATGTTATTTTTTCTCCATAAATAAGACTTACGTTACATCTGCATAACATTAAAATTAAATACATTGAAATAAATAATGCTTATTTATCGGCGCAGCGACAACCTTTACATTAAAATTCATATCTTGTACATTGTTCTTTTAGGGGAGGGGTCGGGTTTTTAAAATGTTCTCTAACGCTTTATGAATCTTAAACTTGAAATATCATAAAATGTAAAGAATGGGAATCAAGAACATAATTCCACGGGATTTATCGTACATAATCAAAGTTTCAAAGTTTTTACTGTAGTAAATCAAAGTTCCAAAGTTTTTACTATAGCAAATCAAAGTTCCAAAGTTTTTACTATAGTAAATCAAAGTTCCAAAGTTTTTACTATAGTAAATCAAAGTTCCAAAGTTTTCACTGTAGTAAATCAAAGTTCCAAAGTTTTTACCATAGTAAATCAAAGTTCCAAAGTTTTTACTTTGGTACTATAGTCATCTATAGTAAACTATAGTTAACTATAGTTTACTATAGTATTTTTTTGTTAGGGTATACCTCCAGTTATCAATGATCAACCCAGGTAAGGGGATTTCTGAACTATGATCAACGCTAAATGAAAACACAGTTGTAAGTTTTATTAATTTAATAAAGTAAGAATTAACCATTGTAAATGATAACAAATAATAAATAATGATCAAAATTTAACAAACAGAAAAGTCTTTGAAAATTGTACAGGATTAATAGGGCTTTATCAAAAATGTAATTTAATCTGGTAGGTGATTCACAATAATCTCAATGAATAATCTCAATAAATAAATAAGTAATTGAAAAATGTAATAGAAAATGGGAGGAATGTGGAAAAACTATGAAAAATAATTTATGTCCCTACTGGTGTTCCATACTTATGAAAGTTGTAAAAAATCCTATAAAATGAATGAATTAGAAAAGTGTAAAAGGAATGAGCTACATCACCCAATATGACTAATATCAACACTCCAGAGTTGAACTGAAAATATCAATGCTAATTCTAGGTTCTAAAAATAACTGACCCAGAAAATAATCAACACCCCAAAATAAATAATAAATAGTGGTTCTAGAAAATAAACCTGTTATCTACATATCCCTAGACCAGGCAGGACTTGGAAAGGGAAACTTAATTTACTTTAAATAACCTACATCCTAACCTATCATATAACTTTATTCTATAAAACCTACATCCTAACCTATCATAAAGTGCTCGCTCAGCTCGTGCTAAATGAAACCTATAATGCCGTGTACCTTGAGGTTGGCATAAAATCAGAGATAATGAGCCATGAGGCTTATCCCTAACCAAGCGAAGTAAACTGCTCGAACACGGGTTTAAATACCCTAGCAAGGTCCAAAATTAAAACCAATGACTATCAAAGATCCTAAAGCTAAGTTAACCAATCAGAACACAGCTATCAAAAGTACTATGGAAAGACTGCCAACATGGATGACACTTCCTGTTTAAAAAGTAAAACATGTGGAATGTCAACTCATGTCCTAACTTATAAACGACAAATAATAAAGGGGTTTTACGTAAGTAACAACTGAAAACAAATGATAAATAGAATAATCTGACTGAAATATCAGCAAATACTTGTAAAATATTATTTACAAAACGATGGCTATGAAATAAAAATCTAAACCACTACACGTTTTTAATAAGTCCCTGCATCATGATATCATAAAAATAAATTCAATAAAGGGCATGCATCCACATGTGATGAATTCTGATTTGTTCATATTTCGATGGCTGTATTTTTCTGAATTTCCAGGTAGATTCTGAAATTCTTTGAAATTTAAAATGTAGTCTTATATTATGAGACAATATAATGTGATTAATATGACAATTTTTGCTTTTGCATTAGCACTGAAATCTGATTGGCTTATACTAATATGGCTTTATCTGCGTTGTTATCCGAAAAATAAGGTATAAATGATGGGTCTAAAATACAAAATTTCATAAAACTTGTACGGAATGGAGCATAAAAAGGTTCTTAAAAAAATTCAATTAAACAATATTGAAAAATAAAATGTCACACACTTTCTGACTTAATTATTTTTGCTGTGTGGGTCAAATTAATGATTAGATAACCAAAGGCTTCTCTTTCTTTAAATTTTTAAAGAAGTGGATTTTACTATTATAAATAAATCTCACTAACTTACAATTTTTAAATGAATGTGTATCTGGCCAAATACTTTCTCATTCAAATTCTTTCATGTCCAAGAAAACACTTATTCCTGAAATTTCTTTAAAAGAATTCTTTGATTCTTGGGATTGGATGGAGGGACTGACATTCATACATCAACTTCTCTTTGTTCTTTGTTGGTAGAGGTAAAGAGATCTCTTTCATTGTAAGATTTCGAAAATTCATTAAAAGAATAAGTTAATGAATTTTTTTTCTTTCCAAATAAGGGACACATTGGACTTTTGAGATCTGTAACATGCTGAAGAGTGGACGATCAGAATTCATTGACACCTTGATACCGATCTTTGATTACAGTCCAAAAGAAGTGCTGAAATTTGTTCAGAGCAAAATTGGTGTCTATACATCACATTTCTATCCACGCCATATGCCAAAACAATTAATGAAGACGCGATGCAAAATAATCCATGTATATCGGAATCCAAAAGATGTTGCTGTGTCATACTTTAACTTCATAAAAAAACTAAACAATATTGATATCCAGGACATGAGCTTCTCTGAATTCCTGAGACATTTTGTCAGTGGAAACGGTAATGAACATTTTTTGAAACACTATATATATATATATATATATATATATATATATATATATATATATATATATATATATATATATATATATATATATATATATATATATATATATATATATATATATATATATATATATATGTGTGTGTGTGTGGGTGGGTGGGTGGGTGGGTGTGTGTGGGTGTGGGTGTTAAACAATTTTGCTATTTGAAACAATTTTTTTTCATGTTTTATACCCTGTATTGGTCCATTTATCGTAGAATGACTGATATGCAAGTTGTTTTTAACAGAATCTTAAGAGTTCTCATTGATATGCTTCCTCTGTTTAAATAATTCTATTAATAGATTTCTTTAAAGTTACAACTATCAAATGAATAATTGATAAATGCATCTTTAAGTCTTATGGTATGAATATACCACGGTTATTCAAATAATACGTACACAATAACGCTCTTCGTCATATTTTTATTTTTTTAGAAATTCTTCACCAATACATTACGATATGTTAAAACAACTTTTTTGTCGATGTTCAATTTCATTCTATTTGATCAAAAGAAAAACTTTAATTTAGTTTGAAATCAACATCTTTTGTGACCACACTTGACAGTGTAACCTCAAAACATGATTGCTTCTCAAAAATACTTCACCATTACATCTCGCACAGCCTTTGGCGCACCATCTACTCATTAGAATGTTTCTATAAGACTTGATATTTTGCTTGGCAACGTTAGTAATTTGTATATTTTTTTTTACCGCGTAACTCTTTAACAAGTTCCAAATAAGTGAAACGCCCTTCCGCAGTAATGTTAAGGCTTCCCGAAGTTCAAAACAGAACGCTTCATTGCAAGGTCGATGTTGATTTTTATTTGTGATTTATGTACTTAAGTAAGGTCAATTTATATAGAGAGTTCTCTAGGCTATATATAAACGTATTTGTTACGATATCACATGACCTCGTTGATTACGTGGCGGTCATTTCTACTTTTCTGAAGTGTTTCACATAAATCGCTTCGGCGCAGCTGATTAACACAATTATTATTAACTTTTTATCACATAAATAAACTTTTCGCTTCCTTGTGAACCCGAAATGTGCTTGGGAAAAGTTATTACAAAATATTTCATAATGAATTCCACTTACCGACAAATTACAGGGTATTTTCCACTCAATATCGTCATCTGTATTAAAACAAAGCCATCACACATTTTTCCCAAGCAAGATTCAGTTAGAGGGGAAACTCTTCTTGCACATTTCCACAAAAGATCTCAAATAAATCCTCATTAATCACCTGCGCCAGGCTCTTTTATACACATATTATAAATTCTACTTCTATCCACGGGTATAAAAAGGGTAAATGTCAAACGTATATTTTGCTATATATTTTGAACACGCTGACTTTTAAACAAGAGTAATAAAGCAAAGTTATCTAAAATATTCGGGTATATAAGATTTAAAAAAAAGATTAAAACACGTTTATTTTACACTAGCTTTCTGACACTTTGTATGCAGATTACAATAAGGTGTAAAGTTTATGATACTCTCCCCATCAAAACAGCTCAAGTTTGCAGTGACTTGACGTCATTTTCAATTATGACGTCATACATTTGTAGTTCATAGAAGTGAAGGCACAGAGTACACTGCGATATTCTCTGAGAAGCCTTAACGTACCTGCTTCAATTTCCTTGACGTTACTATCTCTTTTGACCAGATTTGTTTTACTGATATTAGTAATCCCTTTTCTTCTCAGGCCGTCTTCCGATTCAGAGTCTTCTTCACTCCTAATTTTCTTTTACCATTTCCATGTAAACACAAGTGCAGGGTTCATTTTTGATAATCTCCTGCTTCCTCAAGCAATTAAGTGTGTATTTTAGAGTTTTCCCGAGTGCCACTCAAAATTATGTCTGGTTCTCGCTGCTCTGTGATGTCATCTTTTTTCTCTCTGCTTTTTTCAATGAAGACTACCTGTCTTCTGTGACTGATACTTAACTAATTTTCATTTTGAAATTTATCATGATTTATTGAACTTTTGAAATCATTTTTTTAAGATTTATTGTTAAAACATGTCTACCGAATTTGGTTATCATATGACGTTAAATAGAATAATTACAAAATTCTACGTATTTTTTGAATGACACTTGTATTAGTATATTTTATTTACATAATATTAACATGGTGTTTCTCTGTTCAATTCAGTTCCTTGTGGGAGCTTGGTTAAATGGATTGAAGAATGGACGACATTTAAGAAAGAAAATCCAAACTATCCACTTCTAGAGATATCATATGAAGAAATGAAAAACGTAAAATTGCTGTTTGAAAAGACTTTCATATCCATATCTATTTGTATCCTTTATACAACCAAAGCAATCTCGATTAAAAAAATCTCTAATCTAAATTACAGAATCTGAAAGAAAGTGTTGAAAGAATTTCAAATTTTCTTGGTCTCGATTCTTCACCAGAGTTAATTGAGGATATAGCAAGGAAATGTGATTTTGATGTCATGTCTGCACATAAAAATTCGCATGTTCCAGAAAGAATGAAAACTATATCATCTCTTGAAAATACGCATATTTTCTACAGAAAAGGTTTGATATATTTCTTTGATTGTTTTCTTCTTTAAAAAAGTAATTGTGACGTATAAGGAAATAAACAGTTCAATTGTTTTTGTTATCAATCAAATTTTTTTAGATTTACGGACTTTATTAATGTACTGATCCGAAGTCGATAGATATTCAATACAAAATATGTTCTTATCAGGTGGGGTTGGAGATTGGAAGAACCATTTCACGGTGGCTGAAAACGAGGCTTTTGATAAGTCGATGGAAACCATATTACCTATACTAGGACTGAAAATAACTCATGAGCTGTAAATAGATTTAGAAGTTGATGAACCTTACAAAAGTGTACAGAAAATAATGTAAATAGCAGCATTTCGATGTGAAAAATGTAAACCTATAGGGTTTAGAACGGATATTTTATTTGAACATTTTAAACTTGGACTTTATTCATATCAGAATCATTTTAGTTATTAATGGTGAACTTAGTAGTGACAGTAAAATAAGATAAAAGGTTATTAAACAAGCATGTACATTATTAGTGTACCACATACGGTGACTTTATAAATGGAAAAGGGACTTTATGTTCACGAACTATAATTATCTTGTTAGAAAAAATTGGATTTTGTTGTTGGTACAATGAACTATAATTTTGTAAATCATTTTGTAATGGAATTGATCAGAATAGACCAATCAAGCCCATCGATACTAAGTAATAAAATTTGAACGGAAATGTAAAGTTACTATTAAGATTCTTGATTAAGAGTAATAAAATTGGGAACTTTGAAGCAGATAAGTAAAAGAGCCTAGGACTAGAACTGTGGTGCAGAGATGGAGACTGAGTCCATAAATATTATTAATGAAAGTATACCTGGATTGGAGGGTGGTGCCATGTTGGGGTTCATAGGTCAACGGACAGACCTACGGACTAAGCGTAGGTGGTAGGGTAATATTAAGTCAGGCAATGAAAAGTACTTTTATATCCGGGACCATGAATACCCTTTGAGCACAAAATACCCTGTTTTGTCGGAAAAAGGCACTTTTTCGGTTCTCTTTTCTTTGACTCTTTTGAAATACTTTTTGGACTCTAATTTTTTGGACCTCGCCTTAATTATTACTTTTGGAGTTTTAGTTCTACGCTCTTCTGAAATATTTGGGACGGATCTTTAAAACTTTTGCTATAACCAGTGTATTAGCCTATTCTGATGAGATTTCAGAAACTAGCATAATAAAATCTATACGATCACGGTAGTTTAATAAACTTTTCAAAAAACTTAAAAACTTTTTATTGGCTTACAAAAATTTGTAAATTAGTGCATGAGATTGTATAATGTACGTATGGTATTTTTCGCGTTTAAGGAAAGCGATTGCAAGGCGTCACGTGATCGACTCATGTGATGTTTAAAAAAAGAAAGTTTACGGTAACCATTTCCGAAATAAGGGGCGTGATATGATTGCGCCAATGACAAAAAGTCCTCATGGCAATATTTCCTGAACAGAGGAAGAATAAGACGTGACTGCAGAGTGTTGGGGAGCGTCGACGCAGATTTTTTCATTTACGTGTTTTGTTTTGACACGTCTAGCTTTTGTGTATATAGTTCTGAACATTGAAATTTATTTCATTAATAAATTGAATTTATATCTGGATCTTTATGTCCTCTTGTTTTAATTAATTAAAATATTAGAATTTACTATTGGATCTACGTCAACGTATATATTCATTTCCCTGAAGCTTCATACGGCGTGATTTTCTCAGTGATTAATGAATATGGATGAACAGATGAACGAATGCGATTTTGATATATACTTTATAGACTAGTTTGAGGTTGCATACTGGATATTCACATCTTCTTTTTATAATATTGCAGAGGAAATTTGTTTTCCTCTATAAGATCTTCTCTAGCATTTTTAACACTTACATCGGCCATGTAAACATTGAATCATCGGTGCATAGGTGTAAACATTTTGTTGTATAATGATATGCGTCGTATTTTGTCAAAAATTGTAACTGAACACACTTCTTCTGACAGAAAAGAAAAGTTTCTTTTTGCAAGTTTTCACAAATCTAGCAAAGAATAATTTTTAAAATAATAATTTTTGAAAATTCACGAGGACATGAACGAAAACGCTTCACGCCGGCATACTTTATGAAGCGAATAAGCACGAAGCGACGCAATTTTATATCATTCAACAATTATTTTTGAAACTAAAGTTTCTAGTTTTGACGTCAAGTGTGGAATTATGACGTCACAATGGAGATATTCTTGCTCCCTCATGTACTTGTGTACCTAGTTCATGAGAAAATGATGCGAAGAATATGAAGGAAAAATATTTGCAAATGTAAATATTAAATAGCAAATTACTATTTTTTGCAAAATAAGATATTAGGATTTTGATATATTTATTGCAGATACAAATTCTTTGAAATAACCCCTATTCATTCAATATGTTCAGACAGGTGTCTAACCCCCCCCCCCCTTCCAGGTCAAAGTGCAGAGACCTCGACGTTTGTTCAGCGCATGAACAATTGCCCCTTGGACCACTGTGTACCGGTTTAGAATATATATATATATATATATTTATATTGATATAATAACGGAATGAATGATTTGGAAACGCTGAAAAAAAAAAAAAAAAAAAAAAAACCAAAAAAAAAAAAAAAAAAAAAAACGAATGTGCATGTTAATTTCTTGAGTACATGATTTTTTATTTTTTTACTTTTATTCTGATTTACATATAAAATGAGCAACAAACGCAAGATTTCAGGCAAAAAAGTATTTATTAATCTATACATATTGTTTTTTCTTTAGTCTTTTTACAGACTATACATATTTAAGGTTCAGCAGCAAACCATCATACGAAAATTTATGAAATCTTAAAATATTTTAGGAAGGGGATGGGGGGGGGGGGGGTGATTGAAATGCATGTAGCTTCAAAGTAAATGTGATGACCTTACTTCTTATTTTAACCATAAGTCACTTATAATAATTTGAACAGAATATATTAGTTTTTGGAAAATTCATTGGGTAATTTTTTGTCAAGACGTTGAGAACTCCTCTTAAGGTGAAAATATTACTGCAAATTTACAATGAATACTCCCCAAAGCAGCGGTTGCATTACTACATCTATCAATAGTTTCCAATACAATTTTTATTTTCATTGAATATAACGCATATTATTTAATATCTAGTGGAATTTTTTTTATTTTGTTTCAATTTTGATACCTGTATGGGATATATAAAATTTCACCTCATAACTATCAAAATATTGAAAAACTGCGGTTACCATGGCAACCATATCATCCTTATAACCCTGATGACCATGGTTGAAATTTTCATATTATGATACCATTAACGTAAAGCAAATTATATGTAAAAATGAGAAAAATTCATGGAGCGGATTTTTTTCACGGACCCTTGCAATCGCTTCCTTAAGAGACCTTTATACACTGCATGATTAAGAGTTCTGATTTTGTGGTATTTTCATGCAGATAGAGTAATCTGCCCTTTGAGCTACAATAAAAGAAATTGAGATTTACAGTTTATTACTTCATTTGTGATCAAATCAAGCATTCATGACAGATTGAACACTTTATTTGCAGATATTTTGCCTACTTAGTAAACAGCATTGATTTCTGTTCATCAGTAAATCATTATCTTTGAACATTTTTCCTGTAGACAAATGCAAGGTCCCCTATGTTTGAAAATGACAGAAATATGCTTAATATTTACACCTTTACACACTTTAATTTTCTCAATGTCCAAAAACATTTTTCCTTTGGTATATAAAGGGTCCTTAATGACATTAAATATATGTAGAATGGGGGTTGTAGAATAAGCATAACATCCTCGATTATTTTCTCTGTACTTAGTTTTTATTAAGCTGGAATGATTTTTGAGATTGGCTAATGAAAAATGTAACATATTGTTAAACCTACTTTCTTGCTCTCATTTTAGGACTATTTCTTCATATTTCTTCATGGAAAGATCTTTTTAAATTGGACATAAATAAAGGTTGGATATGGAATATACAGTTTGCATGATAAAAAAAAATGAAATTATAATCTGATTACATTGAAAGTGATTATCTAATTTTGATGAAATTTTAATGGACTAAAACCTCTGTTTACCAGGTACTTAGATAATGTTGGCATGTGGCATGAAAACAAAAATTTATGCAGTAGCCTAGGGAATAAGAAAATCAATTTTACCCGTATCGTGAAATTTTAACACCATGGAATTAAAACGACTTGCAGTATATATATGGTTTGCATACATAGGATATAAATCTACTATCAAAATCACGACAAATCTTTGTACTTGTAACATTAATATGTTATTTTTTTTAATTCTATCTACTTGAGGTGAATTTAATTAATTGTTGAAAATTCTAGGTGCTAGGATATATTAAAAAACAGAAAATAAGAGTATTTCCAATAGCGATGGTTTTAATTTCATGCTGCAAGACATAATTTGAATTTCGTATAAGCATTTAAACGTTTTTAAAAATTAATGATAGAATTCAGTATGGGTTTAATTTCGCGGAAAAATGAAGAAACGCGAACATAGTGAAATTAAAACCATCGTGATTATTTGCCAATGTACAGAATATATATATATATATATATATATATATATATATATATATATATATATATATATATATATATATATATATATATATATATATATATATATATATATATATATATATATATATATATATATATATCACATTTTACAACAACTCTTAAACTAACATAACTGCCCTAAGTGAAGAAATATTAATATAGAAAGCACGAAGAAATTCATTTTTATAAGGATACCCAATTCAGCCCTAACCCGGGGTTGAACTCTCGACCTACGGAATCTGTCTCCTAGTAGTACAGGAACAGCGCGCTAGACCGGCTATCTAGGCAAGTCAAAAAAACTTACTTTCGATGCCGATGGAATTCTCTCGGCGCCGCCCTACACTACACGGTCATTGAGAATAGAAGTGAGATACAGTTATTTGGACATTAGTTTAGAGTTCAACTTCTGGTTGGGGCGGAAGTAGGTATCCTTATAAAAATGAATTTCTTTGTGCTTTCCATACACACACACACACACCCTCCCTCACCCCCCCCCACATATATATATATATATATATATATATATATATATATATATATATATATATATATATATATATATATATATATATATATATATATATTTGCAAGGAGATATTGAGGGTAAAATACTTAAAGAAAAAGGATTTGGGACTTTCCAATCACTTTGACATATACATTGTTCAACTGTATATATTTGCAAGGAAACTCACTACATGTGTATGTAAATGTATATTGGCAAGGAAACTCACTTCATCTGTATGATAAACAAAATGGCAAGGAAACCCTCTTCATGTCAAACTACTTATAAAAAATCCACTTCATATGTGAAAAATGTTTAATAATCTCAAGAATCACTAGACCAGAAAAGATAAAACCTATGTGAAAGGTTCAAGAAAATCATGTAGATTCTTAGCTGTTCAAATCATGGCCCTGGGGAAAGGGTTGGGCCACAATATTGATCAGTTTTAGATTGATATATATAACGAAAAATCTTTAAACCGTTAAATCACGAACCACGGGACCAGAAAAGTTGAAACTGAAGTGAGATAGTGTAAATTCTAAATTATTTAAATGATGAGCCACGGGGATAGCATGGGACTACAAGAAGGGATCGAAGTTTTACATTGGAATTCTCTTTTTTTCCAGTATACAAGCATTATGTAAAATTTGTTCCTGATTTTAGCCAACTCTAAACCGGGATCCATAATTTTAAAAAGAAAATGAAATACACTCAACATGGGATTGGTTGCAAATTAATGAATTAATGAATTTATTGTGGTGTTTACCTTTTGTATGTATATAGAAAAAAAATCTTTTCCAGAGCAGCAAAGCCATGTAAGACACATCGATATTGAAACATTCCCATGATGTGTGGATTCAAGTTCAATTATGTCTTGTCCATTTGGGGCTAGCATGGGGCCACAATATGAGATCAAATTTTTCAAATGAATAAAGAGGAAAAACACTCTTTTTAAAAATCTTTTGATGAAGATGATCAGGACCAAGGTCACTTAGATCTTTGTTTTAGTTGAAGCAGAATAAGAACAAATAATTTATGTCCTTCCTTTTTCAGTTAAACAAATATCTTTCTGTATTTTTTATCTCAAAAATGTTGACATTGCTCTTCTCAATATGAAAAGATATAAATCATCTTTATACACAAATCTGTTTTTTTTTTATGAAAAACAAAGTAAAGAATAAAAGCAGGATACACATGCATTAAGTTTGAACAAGGGGGCCATGGGCCACAACGCTCACCTGCGTACTCTTGACCCTGCTGTTTTAGAACAGTGGTCCCACCCCAGAGCCATGATTTGAACATTCTTGAATATAAATGTTCTGAGATGCTTGCATCATTACTAATATGACTAATCATGATCATGCATATTTATATAAGATTTTTTTTTAATTTTAAAAAATTTTCCGCTACTGAGGCAACACCCTACCCCAAGTTTCGGTTTGAGAAAAAACCCTTGAATTTGCATGACTTCAGGATGTTCGCTCATTAATATCAATAACCATGGCCCGTATGTTCTGAAGATGATTTTCAAAGATTCCAAGAATATTCCTGTTAAACTTTCATCCCTTATAATGGCCCCACCCTATCAGGGGCTTTGATGTGAACAAACTTGAATCTACATAAGTTGAGATAACTTGCATATTAATGGCCCTGCTATTCTTTACATTTTTTCCCTATACATTTCCTAGTTAATTTTTTTTATTTGTTGTGGTCCCCCTCTAACTGCCGTGGGGGGGGGGGGTGTTCATAATTTGAACAAACAGGAATCTATACAACCTGAAATACTTTTATATGAATATGACTAATCATAGCTTTGCTGTTCTTGAAAAGAAAGATTTTCACAACAATCTCCTATATATTCCAACGAAACTTTGATAGCCTAATAAGGCCCCACCCTTCCACCGGAGGTCATGATTGAACAATCTTGAATCTACAATAACTGAGGATGCTACCAGCTTTATATGATTAATCATGACTTTGCTGCTCTTGATAAGATTTTAAAAGATTTTTCCTTTATATGCCTATTTAAAACTTTGATCGCCTAATAGCCCAACCCTACCCGGGGTCATGATATGAACAAACCTAAATCTACACTATGTCAAAAAGCTGCTGTATATGTTTCTTCCTTTCTGGCCCAGTGGGTCTTGAGAAAAAGATATTTAAAAAAATTGCCATTAAATTTTCACTTATCCTTAATTATCTTCCGTTGAAAGAGAGCTTGGCCCTTCATTTGAAAAAAAAAAAAAAAAAAAAAAAAAAAAACCTTGCATCACCTTTTCCCAAGGGTGCTTTGAGGCAAGTTTGGTTGAAACTTGCCACGTGGGTCTTGAGAAGAAGTCGAAAATTCGAAAGGTTTACAAAAGGACAGACAGACAGACGAACGCCGGACGAAAATGTGATCAGCAAAACTCATTCGAGCGTTCGGCTCAGGGGTTCAGGTGAGCTAAAAACGAAACTTGCGTATCATTCATTTATCTAACCAATGTATAAAGACATTTACAAAATTAACGATATTTAACAATGCGATAAAAGTGAGGCAAATTATTTCATACTTCATGTTATTACTATATAAAAAGTAAGTAAATGAGTTTTTGTTGGGTGGTGTTGATTCCGTCTAGTAGATACCATTTGAAAAAGGTAATTCCTTTAATTCAAATTGACACCCATACATTAGTTAAGTTAGTACCCAATTTTTCAAACATGATAAATATTCTCCCCTACTAAAATACATGTACTGCTTTAATGAACATGAAATATAGCGTTAAAATGTGTATCTACAAGCCATATGTAAAACTGATATATGTCTTGTCTTTATAGTCTTTCGTTTACTTCATTTTTCAACATTGATATCTGCCAATTTCCTAGCAATTGTTAAGAAATTTGATCGATTAGAGGGTTCAGAGTTCCAGCGAGACAGCATCAGCTGATACAAGGCATCGGAGCAGTTCCTTGGTTGAGGATGACGGTATCCCTCTCTAAGCTTTCTTTGCAAAGGAGAATTCGATACATCTGCAGCAGATAAGTATATCTTAATGTAATAACAATGTATTATGGTACAAATGTATAATAGTACATGTACTAATATAAAAAATTGACATGCAATATATATTGAAACTGAAACAAATTATTTAACTCAACCACCGCGGGACCTGAATTAATATAAGTTATAATATGTCATTGATTTAATTGGTTTTTATACGTAACTACAATAGAAACAAATATTCAAATATAACTTCATAATGCCATAAATTCCAATATGTAAAGTTAAAACTACGGAAAACTGACTACCTTAGCCATGAATATGACCTATTAAGAATTGTTTCACCTATTGCCCGATGCCTTTACATTCTGAGAGCACTTCAATAAATATTTTATATTCTCTTTGAAATTCTCGATATATCTATTAATATCAAACAGAATACAAAATAAAATAAAAAACTTTTATGAAAAAAGAAAGGTTTCGCCATGAATCCATTCCTTTTGGTTGGTTGTAATATGATGTACATAATTAAAATAACAGGTGGATGTACAATAAGCATACATTAGTAAACATTTTAGAGTTGAATCTCGAGAGATGAGCATTTCAAAAGCCATAATCTTGCACCTTTGTCTGTGACTTCAAATGTGCGACTCCGAATGATCGGTAGAAAACCAGGAATATTTTAGATTTGAAACAAAAACATGAATTTATTTAATTCATGTAAATTAAATCAAAGAAGAAAATGATATACGTATGTCAGCATGCTTATTGATGACTGAAAATCATCTGGGAACAGTTGTGGCTAGATGGAAGCATTTTAAAAGAACATTGCATAAGTAAGTGTACATAGAATTTTAAGTAATAAACAAATTTCTCCTAGAATTTGGCATAATGACTCTATCTTACAGTATATCTCTGGTATGAAATATGATGTAAAACGTTCTAAAATTCAGGAATCATTTTGCACTCCCCTTTATTATTTTCAGAATTAGTAGAAGGAGAAAGTAGTTCATAAATTCAAATAATTCCTGAACTTTCAAGCAATATTTACATGTAATGTAAGAGAGTCACTCGAACTAAAGATGTTTGATATTTCCGAAAGATTCCTGTTGTAAAATTAATCTCAGTTTGAAATATCTTTGAGAGGAAATAAATTAAATTCTTTGATGTATACAAATTATAAAATCTGAAAGACCACATTTTTTTGTTTTACTTTCAGATGTTTTTGCAAAGGAATATGGCCTGCCAGTCCAAGGTTTTAACCAATAAGATAGAAATTGACGAGCTTCCATCTGAGAGATGCCTCATCGTTTAAAAAAAAAGCAAATTTAGGGGATGATCTTATTATTGAAGTATACAGTTCATGATATTAGAGAAGACATCCTTTATCATTACCTGGATAAGGGTCCTCTCCTCTAGTGACGATTTCTATTAGAACTATTCCATAAGACCAAACGTCTGACTTTGATGAGAAATTTCTAGCTAATCCTTCTGGTGCCGTCCACTTTACGGGAATAGGCCCACCTCAAAAATGACATTAACTTCTTGACATATGTGTCATTTCTTTTCATTTTAGATAATTTTATACGGGGATAAAAGCTGTCTGTTTTAAAAAAAAAACTGATTTATAATTCACTTTGCTTCAAAATTTTCGACAAAAAAAATCCAATACCTGATGAGGCATAGGTTGAGTCCTCTGGATCAAGCAATCTTGCTAGTCCAAAGTCGGACACTTTGGCTGTTAATGCTCTGTCTAGAGGAACATTTCTAGCTCCCAAATCTCTATGAACTATCTTTCTGCTCTCCAAGTATTGCATTCCGTTTGCAATCAAGTACTATTATATATATATATATATATATATATATATATATATATATATATATATATATATATATATATATATATATATATATATATATATATATATATATATATACCTTAAACCCGTAGTGCATTTTTAAGAAATTCAATGGCAGAATTCTAAATAATAATAATAAATAATTCCATTAAAACAACGGACCATCTCTTAAAAATCAACAACACTTTTTTTTTCTTTATTTATTTACGCAATATTTTTAGTGGAGTAATATTAGTAAGCTTGAATTGCTGTATAAAACAGCTGATTTAGAAAACGAAAGGGGGATAAAACCCTTAAAAACAGGTAAAACATGTGTTGAAAAGAATATCTCTTGCTTTGTGATTAAAATGATATTTATCCAACTCGTCGTGTGTTTCGGTCTCTAAATACTTACGGCTCGGGGGTGGTGGTTGGGGTAGAGGTAGAAAACAGATATGAATCTGCATTATCATTAAATGCGATGGTCAATATTTGGAAAGGGCTTAAGAAATAATTAAATAATTAAGAATCTTCTATCTTCTGCCAATGTTAGTCAAAATTGGCCAAGTGGTTCAAAAGAAAAAAGTAAAAATGTGTAAAGTAAAAAGACTGACGGAAGGCAGACGAACGGGCGATTGACAATAGGTGATCAGAAAAACTTACTTTAGCTTATAGGTCAGGTGACCTAAAAAACAAAATTCTCTCCGTTAAAGTCATTCGCTTAAGTAGAAAATAAGAGGGTGGAAGATTAAAAGAAATGTTTGAGTTATTCTTCGAAAACTATTTCTAATAACACGCAAGTTTGCAAATCTTGATCTTTGACGCTTTAATCTCAGAATCTATAGGGATCATATTTTAGTTTAGTTTAAGACAGTAGTGAAGAAACCATTTCATACCATATATGAATTTGTGACCTTGACTTTTCAGTGTTTGACCTAAAAAAATCAATAGTGGTAGTTCTTAACTTCGCGTCTTCATTTTGAAGTTTGATTGAAAATGAAGAAAGAGAAGTAGAATTATCATCAGGATACCGTTTATGCCATATATGGATTTGTGAACTTGACCTTTGATCTTTTGACATCAAAATCAATAGTTTTTTGTCATAAGATTTGAGAAAAAAATCCTTGCAATAAAAAAGGACCTGGTATATCATTCGGAATCTGAAGTACATTGTATCATGCCATTTGCGCATTTGTAACCTTGACCTTTCCTTCTGTGGCCCCAAAATCAATGGAAATCTATTCTAAGTTAGAGAGAGTCTTCACTTTTAGTTTATTTTTTTTTTTTTGTTTTTTTTCTTGCAGAAGAGCCTAGAAAACTTGTTATCATCTGGAAAAACAATTTCTGCAAATATGTATTTTGACCTTGGTCTTTGAACTTATGACCTTAAACTTGAATTGGATAATTTTTTTTAAGTCAAGGACGATATGATAAAAAATTTCACAGCAAAAGCTATAGGGTTTAGAGATATATCAAACAAGAAATCAGTTCAGGACTGAAAAGTTTAAAAATATAAGTGCTCCCACCCTACCCCCTGGGGTTGATGATTTGAACACAATTGTATCATTTTAATATGACTAATCAGGGCTTTGTTCTTAAGAAGAAGATTTTTGAGATTTTTTCCCTATATATATCCCATATTTCATGTAAAACCTTGATTGCCTAACGTGGTCCCACCCTTCATCTGGGGAGTCATGATTTGAAATTAAAAAACAAAACAAAACTTGAACCTACACCTCCTGATGATGTCTCTCAAATTTGAATCTACACTGTCTAATGAAGCTTTCACATCACCTTAAACTTTAATTGCCTAGTAGTTATTGAGAAGTTTTTTGAAAGATGCCATTTAATTTTCTCTAATTCTTAATTATCTCTCCTTAAAAGAGTGCGTGGCCCTTAATTTAAATAAACTTGAATATTCTTCACTCAAAAATGCTTTGTGGCAAGTTTGGTGTAAATTGGATAAGTGGATCTGGAGAAGAAGAGATAAAAATGTGAAGAGTTTATTAAAAACGACAATAACAACAACGACGACGATTACGACAGACAATGGACAAATTCTTTTGATCAGAAAAGCTCGCTTGAGCCTTCGGCTCAGGTGAGCTCAAAATATAAGTTGATAGACAAAGTGACAGACATACGAGCACCCAAAGAACATTTAAGAAGAAGCAGGGAACAATAAAAAAAATGAAACTAAGCTACTTAAAAAAAAATTATGTACATAACTACATTACATGTACGTATGATTGTTGATGAAATGGCTCAAAATAATACAAGTTATGAAAAAATAATTTGTAACTTGAATATTACAGAAAGAATGTAAAAATGCATCGGCACTCCAAGAACGTATGTATCGGGTGCCATCATCGGGTAAATTTTGATTAATTATCTTGAAGTCTTTCTGTCTCCAGCATTTCATTTAAGATTTGAACATCAATCTCATTTACATTAATATGAATTTGTTTATAAATAAAATCTTTAACATACAGCTTGTCATAAAAAAAAAAAAATAAAGCATCAACATAAGTGCCCTTTCTTGTAAGAATTAAGATATAAGTTTAAATAATGATACTATTTTTTTTCTTCTTATTCACAATGTAATTTTTTTTCTGAAATTCAATATTTTTTGCGTTTTACTCACATCAATTGCAAATGTTTTCATCTGCTCTTGACCAATGCTTCTGTTTGAACCAAGATAATTCTTCAGGTCTCCATTCTCCAGGTATTCCATCACAATAACAAAATTGTTCGTTTCCGTCCAAACTTGAATCAATTCGACCTCATTCTTGTGGTTTAGATTTCTCATTATATCTGCCTCTTTTTGATAGCTTTGAAACCAATAGGTTCGTCACTCTTCAACTCCTTTATTGCCACATTTCTACCGTTTAAAGTACCTTATTGGAAATAAAACTGAAACTGTTTCAACTCTTACTGTCTTAATAAATACATGCACTACTAAACCAGAAACGGATTGATATTCCCAAATTTTTCTGACAGTGTACTGCCTTTACTGAAAAACTGAACTTTTACTGCCGGTGCTGAACTTAGAAAAGTGATGACAATTATAGTCGGTGCTGATAAATTTAGAAAATTAATGATTCCATTTTACTGTCCCTGCTGGGAAACTTACACAAGTGCTGGCTTTTAATGATAATTACTATCCCAATTGTTCCCTATTGTTCTCGCTCTCGGGGAGACTGCAGATGTGTGAATTTATTATTTTTTTCAAAGAGGGTTAAATTTTATTTTTAAAAGATAATTTATAAAAATATTCTTGCTCATTTGATCGCTCTACAGTAAAATTATTTATTAAAAATATTCTATAAGGAAAACATATATATAGTCTTTCAGCAGACTATCCATCTATAAATTATTTTTAGTGATTTGTAATATCATGGTGTTTTACAGTGATCTATTACTCCTGATCATAAATAATTATTTCATTTTCCCAATTATTTCATTTTCCCTTATTTTACCAACTTTCTTTTTTTTTGTATATAAAAATAATAAAGCCATCTGGTAAGATATGTTCTATGCATTTTTAATTTTAAATAACTATAATATTTGATATTCATTGATTTTTGATATTTCTTATATATATATTTATATATTTTTTTACGTCTTTACTCATTTAATTCTTTTGAATGCAATAGATAGTCGATTTCCATATCTGGAAATTCTGGATCCGCACCTGAAAGTGTTATTAAGGGTATGTCCTTCTACCGAATTGCACATACAAAATCCTTTTTTTCTGAATTCATACACTTGTAATAAATAAATAAATAAAAAAAATAAATGAATACGTTAATAAATTAAAAAAAATTTAAAAAAGGATGAATTGTCTTTAAATATTTTTACTGGTTTGACACAGAAAATATCGTCACCATGTATATTATCTGCATTCGTCATAGATGTTTTAGGTTTTTGAAGATATATGTAAAGTGTGTTTATAACTAAAATAAAAGCTTTAAAAAAATCAAGTCTGGTTATTTTTTTCTAAACCTTGCAATTTTATATACAATTTAAGAAGAAGAATTCGAATACAAATTATATGCAACGAGATCAGAAGAATAAAAACTCAATTTTCTGTCGGAATTATACTGTCTAAAACTATCTACATTCACTTTGCCTCAGTCTGTTTTAATTGTGTGTGTGTGTGTGTGTGTGTGTGTGTGTGTGTGAGGGTGTGTGTATATGTGCGTTTGTAAACACCTTCAACTTAGCTCAGGTACTTATTGACACATCAATCAACTCACTACAGTTTTTCAAGTCACTACAGTAATCACTGTAGTGAGTTGCCGTTTTACGAAAAATGGGTAGTTCTCGATTATTTATGCCCAAAAAATCGAGAAAAAAAGTTGGTGTCATTTGACGGTTTACACCCGTATTTTCACACACCGACTTATGATCAAAAAATGGCCCTTACACACTTTACTCGGTTTTGATTCTAGCGCATGCGCAATGCAGACTAATACTATGGCCGACTTCCGGTGTGTAATGATCTCGATTTTTCTACAAAGCAACAAATGATCTCATCAGGTAAGTTAATTTTCTGTTGATTTTACCGTGAATTAAAGCGTTAATTACAAAACATCACATCGTTTCCATATACAAAGATATTAATCAATCACTCGATAAACATAGAGTATTTAGATTTCGTTGTTTATATGCCCTTGAAAAATTTATGTTCAAATCCCTTAGTTATAATCCAAAAATAAAACTTTAAGGTTAAAGAATTATTTAAATATATTTCCATATAACTTTAAATCCACTACATGGCCCAATCCATTTGTTAAGCATAATTTGCAGTCGTCATCGAGTCTAAGTTCGAATTTTCTCGAATTATTCATAATGTTGACATGTTTCTATTTCATGCACTCGTATCAATTAATTATGTTCAACTTATATAAAAAATTATACTTCATGTAATATATCAAACGTATCTGGTTCTTTGTTCTAGTTATGAACTGAACTGGAATTATCTCTATCCTTTATAGTCACACATATTGCCATCAACACATCTTCAGTTCAGAAGTTAAATAAATTATTTTATGAAGTTAGAAATTATTTATCTTATTTATCTTTGTCCAAGACATGCACTTCATTTGTAATTTATTCTTTATTTAAAAAAAAAACTGCTTCAAATATGTATGATTACAAAAGTATTTAACAGTACGTTCTCACCATATAAGAATCACACTTTTCGATTTTAAATGTTTCTCGACTGATTTTACAGAATTTCAAATGAACAAATTCATTTAAATATTTTCTAATACAATGTCCCTGATGTATGTCACAATGGAACACCTACACATGTATTGTATAAAAAGAATTTAGAAAGATTAGATATCTTTATAATGGAGGTACGTGTATGATAAACTGTTTTGATCGGAAGGGGAAATGCATTTTTAAAATACTACGGCTAATGTAGACAAGATCAGAGTTCTCTTTCATCCAAAAATAAAGTATGCTCAGTTCTTCTTGTATGTGTCCTTAAAGCTGGTAAACTAATCAAAATATGAAAATCTGCAAGTTTTTGTACATGTATTCAGATTGGAAACTTTAATCATTAGTTGCTTACCTGTCCGTGTAAGAGAAATAATTACAGTCTCTAGACTTGATGAGGTGTGATTACGGTAATTGTAAAATGTGGTTTCCAAGACTTTACCTTATTTATTCATTAGAGTTAGTGATTCATGTTCACTATTGTTTCCTCAGAAGGAGATGATCCAGGAATTCTTCCGGGGAGGGGGGGGGGGTCCATGCCCCCCCCCCCAAATCCAACTGAGAAATTTACCCAAAACTTAAAAAATAAATAGATAAATTTTAAAAAACGCAAACTTGTCCATCCCCCCCCCCCCCTGAGAAAAACTACAATTTGGAAACTCAAAAAAAAATAAATAAATAAAAAATAAAAAAATAAAAATAAAAAAATATGAGTGGACTGGACTGGATCGGTGCATGAATTGCTAAACATTGTCCATCGTATATATAAAGAACTGCATAAATTTTACACTTAGTCTAATCAGGGATTATATATAGAAATATCTATTTGAACATTGTTAATGCCTCCCCCCTCCCCCCTCCATTTACCATGTTTATTTCCAGTAAAAAAAAATGTCTGATTAACCTATTCTACTCAAATTTACTCAAGTAATAAACTTTTTTTTTTCTGTGTAAAATTTCATTCCGAGTCATCACCGGAACGAATTACTACTTAATCGTAACTGTTGTGGTGGCAGGGGATAGTTTCGTACTAAAGACCCGTCAAATTTTTTAAAAAAGTGAGATAGCCCCTGTTTGATGTGATATTTTATGTAGAAAAATGAATTGAATAATTATGGGACACATGTCCAGTGTAGCAGAGTGCTTGCTGAGAAAAATGATGTGCAACATGTAGGTCATCGTCGGAAACCCACGGTCGGTCTCGCTTCTCTTACCTAGACCGACCGTGGGTTTCCGACGATGCATGTAGGTGTCACTGTGATGCTTAGTATACACAGAGTGTAAATGCGAAACTAAAACACGTGGTCTGCTGCAGAGGAAATTCAGCTGAAAAGCAGGTAGGGTTCAGAAGAAGGTCTGTATCTCTGAGGGAAGGTGAATGGCCCCAGACCAATTAGTGAATTTTTAATAGGGCATGCATTGATCTACAGGATGTTGGGTGTTTTATCCCCCTTGCTCGGGCCTGGGTTGGGGCTATATGGGTGCGGGTTAGGCCCAAATCTTGAAAAATTAAGCCAAAATCTGGGGGGCCCCCCAGTGCATTTTTGGTACACATGCACTTAAATATGTAGATTACATGTTATATGTTGACATATTTTTTAAGCTATGGGTATATGAAATTCAATTAATTAGCCTTCAAGAAACTGTCCCCACTTATCTGTTTTCATTGACATCCTGTATATACCTACCCCCTCAGCACATGTTTGGCATTAAAAAAAACTATCCCCTGCCACCTGTGGCGTGATGCTTGATTGTGAACCTAATAACATAGAAATACTTATTGGATTCTACCTTCGATGTCATTCTGTGATTTATTTTAGTATGTAAATACCCCTCATGGTAAGTATAGAGTAAGAAACGTTATATAAAGGTGTAAATGACAAGTTCAAAATATTTACATGATACATGTAAACAAATCAGAGGTCATTCGAGTCACGTATAAAATTATTAAGTCATGCATGTGATATCAGTCAAGTGCAGATATTTCACAAAGGTTTGGTTGTGCATATATTTTAAACCTTTCACTGTGGTGTTTGTGAGCGTGATACGTGATACAGCTGTGATACCAACACGTAAAAGAAGATAGGCTAAGTGAGACTCTTGTAAATTCACATACACACACAAAAGATGTAAAGGTTGCTCCACACCTCTTCAAATTAAGGCTTTGCCACACTACAGCATGTACAAAGCTTAAAAAACTTGCATCAACGTACAGAAAGATTAACATACTCGCTGGCATATGCTGAAGGCTTGTGCCATGCACCATAATCATGATAATTGCACTGAAGTAAAAAAAATTTAAAATGGTCATTTAATCAACCATATTAGCACCAAAGTGTGCATTCAATTTTCCCTTGGCTCTGTTCATTGGAAAGATTTCGACATTATATCTTTTAAAGGAAAGGTTTGTTTTGTTTGTATGTTGTTTAACGTCCCTCTCGAGAATTTTTCACTCATATGGAGACGCCACCACTTGCTGTTGGAGAGCTGCAAATTTTGTCCTATACTCGGCATTTATGGCCATTGAGCAGTGAGGGATCTTTTTTGTGCCAGCACCTACTCAGGGTTAGAAACTCCCTAAAATTCCAACTCGCAAATAATTGCGAGTACCAAGCAAGTGAACTCGCAATTTTATAAGACTACTCGCAATTTTCATATAAAGTTAAATTTATATAAATTAAATACATGTAACTTAAGGGAAAAGTAACTACTGTACAATACACAAAATACAACTACAGTGTGACTTTTATTTAAATTACTGATTTAAATCAAAGGCATTGTGTTCTGTCATATTATATAATTTTGCTACAGTTTCAATGCAAAAAAAATTCAACTCGCAAGTTTTTGCGAGTTACCCAAGTTTTAACTCGCAATTTGGGAATTCTAACTCGCGTTTTGCGAGTTGTATATAGTGAATTTCGAACCCTGCTACTGCGACATGGGACCTCGGTTTATGCGGTCTCATCCGAAGGACTGGTCTCCACGTCCCACAGTGGGATTCGAACCCGCGACGTAAGAATCAACTCCTTACTCCGCGACTTTAGAGCAGACGCTCTAACCACTGCTCCACGCGGGCGACTTTAAAGGAAAGGAATTGTATAGTTTGATATGTGCACACCCTAGATTTTGGAAATGTTAATGCTCTACTTTTATTGTTTTAATTACTTTCATTTTCAGATGTTTATTTTTTGTGAATGTGTGCATTTGGCCGGAAAACAATCTGACATTCCACCTTGAGATGTTATTTGAGAGTTGTTCCATCCTTAAATGTAAAGCAAGGATTTAAAACAGTGTGAGAAAAGGTTAACATTGTCGCCTATGGGAAATGTATTGGTGGACTGTATACCCCATATATATTGAGTACGTCTATTGGTAAGCATGCTAAGAGAAATTCTACTTGTTAAAAAAATTGTACTTTCAGGCTGAGTTGAAGTTTGTAATTTAATAATATCATCATTTCCAATTGTTGAAATCTATGAAATACACAACTTTTATTTTGCTTAATGTGCATATTTTAAAACAAATCGAGTCGCAATATAGTGTCCTTCCAAAATTTTGAGGTGAAATAGACATAGTGTATATAGACACAGTTAAGGCACGGAACCCATATATGAAATTTAGAAAAGATGTACGGGCTCCACAGACCCAAGATATGGACACAGAATCTGAGGTTGAAAGCAAGGTGTTCTTGTGCACAGAAACCAATGTGTAGGCAAGGAATACTTGTCCCAAGAAGACAGTTTCTAACTTACAAAATTTGAATGAGGCAGATTTGGTTCAAACTATATACATGTATTTTTAATCTCACGGCTTTTTACATAGCATGATCATAACTTCCTTTGTGCAAATCAGATTAGAAGGATTCATGATCCTGAGCTAATATAGCTTGTGTCTTTCTTACTTTATAAAAGATACATAACTAATATACATGTATATCACTTGGAATTGTACTTAGGTCAACGCAGTACAGTTAAGGCAACATTTTCTATAAAAAGGCACCAAAAACGAGACACTTAAAGTTCAACCGTCTTATTTTTTAGCATGAAACTCTATCTGAAATATCTTAATGGCTTTATGAAGAGTTTGTCCATCGCTTTTCACATCGGTATTTTTTGTCATCATGTGACCCTCTAAAGTCACGTGAGCTCCGATTTTAGGTCAAAATATGAAATGTCAAATTTAACCAAAAAGTGCAAGGGCAAGGTAAACAATATTTGAACTGCACAAGGTTTCATTGTGTCCCTTGATATCTATCCTATCGAAAAACTGATGCTCATTCAGTCAGATTTCTGAGATATTTAAGTTATCCATTGAAAACAAACACCAGTATTCAAAAATAGGGTATTTTTCATCATTTAATCGGAAATTTTAAATTGCCTAATAAATTACAAAGAAATGAGCATCACTTTTTAAAAACTATACAGTAAAATAAAGAATTTAAAATAAAAACCTACCTCTTGGGTTGTCGCCTTGCCCTTGCACTTTTTGATTACAAATTGAAATCTTAACACATTCATTCTAAATATAGTTTTCAAACGCATCATTGACCCAGCATGGGAGATAACTCTGTGGTACTTAGTAGAGTTTGTGTACCTCGCAAATTTTAAACAAATACCTACGGACTGCGCTGGACTTTATTTCACTAAATCAAAACGGTATGCATAAAAAAATCTTTGACTTTACTTTGTTTTGTATATCTTCGTTCTTTTATACGCTACACAAGACGTATTTGACACCTACCGCATTTCCTCCGTTCGCCTAAAATTTGCCGCAACATCCATCATGCAAATAAATTGGAAAATGCCCATGGTAAAAAATATTGAAAGATTCAGTCATTTGTAATAAAAATAAAAAATAGACAGCCCCTATCAATGATTAAACATTTATTCTTCCGCAGTAGACACACAGAAAAAAATATCTCCAACAGAACTTAGTAGTTTTTTTTTTTTTTTTTTTTTTTCCATATGTGATTATTTTAGTTATCAAACCTTCAACTGTTTATGGATTCTAGACTACGTTAAAAGTTTTAAGAACAGAAGGAAGGGATTGGGGTGCTTACTCCTGTATTTAATAACCTGTTTTCCTTTCTACAGATCTAACACCCTCCCCCCCCCCCCCCCTCTCACCAGTTTGCCTCTGGCTCCTTTGATACCATATACTTACTGGCATGTTAAAAATAAATTATTAAACAGTGTTTACATCAGGTTTTACTTATTTGGGTATTGTAGCACAAATCATATCGGCGTAGGGGGGGGGGGGGGCTTTAGTCTCATGTTTTTGAGTAATTATCAGTCAATGCGCAAACAAGATAATCATAGTAAAAACCTTTGTGATACAGAAACAGATACTCTGTTAAAGAACAGGTGAACACAATATACATGCTGAAATTTAGATCTTGTTGTACCCCAAAACACAGACAGGTGCATACCAGAATGGAAGTGAAATGTACGCAGAGAACGGCTGGGGTCCGCTTTGAAACCCCCAGTGGGTCCAGATGAGGGCCCAGGGGCGAAGTCCCTGGAAGCTCATGGTTTTTACCAAATATTTCATTCAAAATCATGCCATTTCGATTTTCTTTAGAAAATACAAGACATAGTAATATCGTTTTTTATACAAAGTTAAATACTTCCGTGCAAATTTATTGTACATGTACAGGCTGAATATTTTTTTAAAAGATATATTGGTATCATCTTTCGGCAGCAAATATAATTAATAATTTCAATTTTTAATAAAAATAAAATTTCAAATCATATTCTAGTGGATCACAGCATTCAACGGTTGATATTTTCTCAAAGATCTTAAAATAAATTATCAATGTGTTGTAGAAGAATTGCAAATCAATGAATGTTTTATTTGGTTTGGCAATGATTTAATAAAAAATTACAATTTTTTTTTATTTTTTTTTTTATAAAGACATGGTAATATAGAATTTGAATTTGAATCGAAACAGTACGAGATAAAATAATTTGAAACAGAAATATTTGCTGGATGGTATTGATATTTTTTCTTTTTTTCTTCTCACAAATCTCTCCCTCCCCCCCCCCCCCCCCCCCATTTTTTTTAAATTTGTAAACGATGTGTACGCACCTGCGTATAAATATTTGCGTATAAGCAGCTATGCGCCTGTCAGAATACATGCAAGTAAAGATACTCAAATCTTAACAGGCTTCAAACTTTCACACCATTGTACTGTTAAAAATTCAAAGTATTAGTTATCTAGAAAATTTATTTAATTAAAAACAGCCTTTCAAATTCAAAGACAAGCTGTGAAGGGATTTCTGAGCAGGTGCATATATTTCAAACAGTCCACAGTTCAAACAGTTCTTCTGGATGAAATCAATTCTGAAAACAAAATGAAATACCATTATGGAAGGTTCATTGGTGTTTTAAAAAAGTGATACTCAAAACAATGCATTGAGTAACATGGAAAACATATACATGACTCTACTGTTTTTATTATCAAAACATTTCAATAATCTTGCTAGGAATATGTATGGTTTAGAGCTTATATGGAGCATACCTTTTTATTTTATTGGTGGAAACACTTGCTGCCTGAATGAATTGTTCAAATTGTTTGGGAGTAGCTACAACACAATATATATGTAATGAGTGAAAAACATAATGATTACTTTTGTAGAATGAAATGACATTGCATTGTACAAAACAAACCATGCTATACTATATTTTCTGAAATTCATAAAATAAATGGAAACAAACTTATGATACAAAACTTTTCTGGGAAATTGAAACCTATTACATTTTGCAAAAGTAGAATTGGTAGCTATACTTAATTTAAGTAAAAAAAAAAATCAATATACTAGAGATAACATTTAATTCTTTCACCTATACAACATTTAAAAAAAAAATTTACATGTAACACTGGCATACTATAAAATTAATGTGAAATGCTTTAGTGTGATCATACCCAGTGGAGAAATTGATGCATCTATTTTGATAGTTCTAGCTGATGTAAATGCTAGTTTTAACCAGTTCTGTGATAGCTACAATGACAAAAGAATTATACATATAAACAGAACATAAATACATGTATATACATATCAGACTGACTTAATGTACATGTAGTCAGACAAATGAAAATTCAAACATTTTATCTTCATTAATGTAGAAATTCTACAAATTTACAGCCTAGTGATATAGATAGTAAAAGTTCTATGATGAATTTAAAATATGAAGCACTGGTAAAAACTGAAATCTTAAAATTCGCATATTTTTGATTGCCAGAGGTAAAAATTAAAATTTATAGGGTCCTATACTCTTGTATGTACAGTGCACATACACTGTACACTGTGCAGTTTGACTTCACAAATACACTGTAAGTGTGACTGCATCTAAATTATACTATTTGATATCATGACGTGCTGTGCTTATATTATGTTACATGTTTGTACATATATGCCAAAGGACAACATTGCATATTTAAAAGTGTGCAACTTTCATAATGTGTGTGTTTTCGTGTATGTGTGTGTGTGTGTGTGTCTGGGGGGGGGGGGGGTACACACAAGGCACTGCATTGCAGTTTGTGACGGACTGTAACAATACATCTTATTGTACATGTTCAAGGTTATTTTACATCGATGTAAAGAATAGTATGTCTACATGTTAATACCTATGCACATACACACCATGAACAGAAAGGGACCTAGGGAGGTAGTGCGGATCGTCTCAGTTTTCCATGATTTCCCGAAATAACGTCATCATCTTCTCATCAAAAAGATAAACAAGGCCCAGGTCTCTTATTTTATCCCTATTCTCTTTAAAGATTGCCTGATTGTTGCATTTATCCACTGCATATCTCAGCTGCTGTCGCCACGTTTTTAGATGTATAAACAACATTCCGTGTCACCGAGTGCAAGCGCTTGGCTGAAGCCGAATGCAACCAAACGACACAACAAAAAGAGAATTATTTCGAAGACGTGTTGTTACTATATAAGAGAAAATCACTAATGTTTATTTATTTAAACCTGAAAATACAGACATTCATTACAAATTCTCGCAATCATCATTAAATAGCTTTTTTGAGCTCTATTTCCTTATATGGATCTATCAAGGCGGAGCAACTGTCATGACGTCAAACCTCATTATGACCTCATTACCATATTATCTTCATGTGTAGCCTTAACTGTACTGCGAACTTGAATGATTTTGTCACTTTTGAACTAAAAGTCTAAGTAAGTAAGTCTAATATAGAAGCCATTTGAAATCTTTATCCTTGGATGTTTCAATGCAAGCTGACAGACATTGAAATAGTCTTTGTTGATCAATGATGATTTAACCTAAGTTAACAATCTCATTTCATTTTATATGTGGGTATATATATATATATATATATATGTTTGTTTATTCATATACATGTATGTTTATGTACATGTATATGATAGAAAAACAATGTACAGAATAATTAATTGATGCTTTCAAAATAAAAAGTGTTGCTTGTGTGACGCAGTGGTTAGAGCGTTTGCTCTAGAGTCGCGAAGTAAGGAGTTGATCCTTAGATTGCAGGTTCGAATCCCACTGTAGGACGTGAAGACCGGTCCTTCGGATGAGACCATATAAACAGAGGTCCTATGTCGCAGTAGGTGCTGGCATGAAAAAGATCCCTCTGAGAGCTGAGAGCGGGGTATAGGTCTATTAAAAAAAATTCTAAAACTAATCAAATTAATAATGTAAAGCATTGTAAAGTTTGTATTCAGTCTCTATTTGGCATCTACAGCAACATCAGGGGATTCTCCAAGATCCTAACCCAGATCTAGATGAATTAATTAAGGCACATGCAGATCTCATGACTCCATATTTGGTTATTTTTTGACATGGTCGGTTTCCCTAATCAGGGTCTCCAGATATGGAAAATGGCACAGGTTTCTGGTACAGGTTTTTCAGAATCCATGAGTTCATGTAGGGAACCTAGCACAACTTTCTGTGAAGGGTTTATTTGTAAAACTGTTGTGACAGAGATCGGGCTCGGGATGTCTTTATGCATTACGCCAGCCGGACTTTATCGTAATGTGATACGATAGCGGCCAAGGGTAGTCCGGATATACATGGGTATAAATATGAGCGCTCTGCAGAAAGCTGGCAGTTGCCAGTTGGAGCGCAGTGTAGACGGTTGGAGAAAGCACAATAGTGAGGTACGGCGGAGGTTAATAAGGCTTGTAATTAATACAGTATACGGTGTCTAGTATACTGGGTTTACATTATTCAGGTTAATAAAGTTGTAATTACTTTTCCTCGAATTTTATTAAGGTCTGTCTGTGTACAGGACAGAGACCTCGAAGATCCGTACCTGTCCTGGTACTGATACATGCAGGACACAGACCTGTCTGAATACAGGACCTATCCCGGATTTGAGACCCGTACCTGTCCTGGTACTGATACATATAGGATACAGACCTGTGCGAGACCTATACCAATAATTGTTTAAAGATAGTTGTATGCTTTATGTTAAGGATAGGAAATCCTAATATTATTTATATCTGTATATATTGACTCGTTTATTTTTCACATCCTTTGTCACTTATCATTTTTAATCATTTGTTTAATTAATTGTCTTGATTAAGGATCTACCCAGATTCACGGACCCAAACACGTTACACTGTGTTATGTTATATTTCAGTCATTATCCCATGCCTGTTCTTGCCTTGACCACTTTTTCGCATGGCTTTCTATACATATTTTACATATATAGGAGGAGAAATGCTAGTCTGTTACAGGTTTATGGAAGCTAAATTTGTGCCTGTGTTTAAACCACCCAGACAGTTTCATATGGGAGTAACCCCCCCCCCCCCCCTTATGAACATACAGCTAATTCTCATACCTCCTGTTGTTTACAGTTACATGTATGTAGCGAATAAATTCAATTAATGTGTCAATTTATATTATTTATTAATTCAAAGCTAAGTTGAATATATTTTTACATAAGGATTCAATATGTACACAAAAATTCACAAACGAGGTCGGAATCGGTATTCAGTCAAGTTCAAGTTCAAAGTGAAAGTAGTGTACTCAATGTACAGGCCGGCAGGGTCTTGCAGTATGTAAGTGACATGCATGTGTCATTTTATGAAGGGGTATAAATGAAAATTATTTTCATGGAACAGGATTACATGAATGAGGACATGTACATTCTTTGGAAGCAGTCAGTCAACTTATTCAAGTGTGTGTGAACATGCACACTAACATTTTTCATATTTTATTGATAGCATGATCGATACATGTATTAATTTTGTCTAATGTATTATTTGTCAGCATGGTCAGTAAAACATGCTTTTTAACTGTATTATTTATTTAACTAAACAATGTTGGGACTTAAATCAGTGCAAGATGAAGCAAATTCATAATTTATGATTATTTTCAAATAATGAACATAAATGGAACGTGGAACGTTTGTATGTGTGTAATGTCTGTCTGTGAATGTTTTAGGATGGATGTTTTGTGATACTGAAGTATAACATCGATTTTTTTAGGTTCATGGTGATACAGGAAAACTTCAAGGTTCCTGCAGATGGTGTTTAAAACTATTGGCCAGTGAACACAAACCCATTTAATTATATTTTGAATCTTCACCAGGAGAAAAAAGATGGCAGTACTTCTAATGCGTAAGTAGAATTGTTTTAAAAAGCTTCTTTTTTTGTTTTGGGGTGGGATGAATGATTAAACAAATACATCATGTACATAAGCGTTGAAATCCCTTTAATACAGGGCGTTTCAACAAACATGTCCTTCTTTTACTACTTCACATGAGTCCGTCAAAAAAGGAAAGATCAGTGTTTTGTAACGATTTATCTAAAAATAAACATTACAATGCAGTCTTTGCCAAATCTTTTTTTCAGTACATGCCCTTCGGGCAGGTTTAACCACTTATTACGCTAGCCCGAACAAATATTCACATGCCCAGAATTTTATCAAGTAATTTTATTTTTATTTGCCTTTTCATGGCAAGGAAATGATCCGAAATCCATTTCTATCGATCTATTGTCTAGCCATTAATATTGTTTTCAACCTGTACACTTTTTGTGTTTCTTTTGCAAAAGAGTTCCCTGGAAATCGTGGTAGAATAAACTATCGTTAAAATTTTATTTGGTGCTCCACTTCAGATGAAAAATCATACTTTTAAGTACATTTAATGTTATTGGTATTACTTAATTTGATAATACGGAGGCTTAGGCCTCAGAATTCACATGCCCTTTGGGCTTGTAAGTATGCAATTTCCACATGCCCCCTTCCAATTTTACCAGGTCCCTGGCTTCGGACTCCCGGGATTTGTCGAAGACTGATTACAATGTTCTTTTTATAGTTTTTTGAAAGTACATGAAGTGTTTTATTCCAAAGATTTTTAGCTCACCTGAGCCAAAGGCTCAAGTGAGCTTTTCTGATCAAAATTTGTCCGTTGTCTGTCGTTGTTGTTGTCGTTGTCATCATTGTTGTAAACTTTTCACATTTTCATCTTCTTCTCAAGAACCACTGGGCCAATTTCAACCAAACTTGGCACAAAGTATCCTTGGGTAAAGGGGATTCAAGTTTGTTCAAATGAAGGGCCACGCCTTCTTCCAAGGGGAGATAATTAAGAATTTGTGAAAAATTAATGGCATCATTAAAAAATCTTCTTCTCAAGAACCACTGTGCTTGAAAATATGAAACTTATGTGGAAGCATCCTCAGGTAGTGTAGATTCAAGTTTGTTCAAATCATGACCCCTGGGGGTCGGGTGGGGCCACAATGGGCGATCAAAGTTTTACATAGGAATATATAGGAATAATCTTTAAAAATCTTCTTCTCAAGAACAGCAAAGCCATGATTGGTCATATCTATATGGTAGCCTCCTCAGACAGTGTAGATTCAAGTTTGTTCAAATCATGACCCCCGGGGGTCGGGTGGGGCCACAATGGGCGATCAAAGTTTTACATAAGAATATGTAGGAATAATCTTTAAAAATCTTCTTCTCAAGAACAGCAAAGCCATGATTGGTCATATCTATATGGTAGCCTCCTCAGACAGTGTAGATTCAAGTTTGTTCAAATCATGACCCCTGGGGGTCGGGTGGGGCCACAATGGGTGATCAAAGTTTTACATAAGAATATATAGGAAAAATCTTTAAAAATCTTCTTCTCAAGAACAGCAAAGCCATGATTGGTCATATTTACATGGAAGCATCCTCAGGTAGTGTAGATTCAAGTTTGTTCAAATCATGACCCCCGGGGGTCGGGTGGGGCCACAATTGGCGATCAAAGTTTTACATAGGAATACATAGGTTAAATCTTTAAAAATCTTCTACTCAAGAACAGCAAAGTCATGTTTGGTCATATTTAAATGGAAGCATCCTCAGATAATGTAGATTCAAATTTGTTCAATTCATGACACCCCCCCCCCCCCCCCCCCCCCGAACCACTTTTTTATTTAAACTTTTCAACCTTTCAAGACTGAACTGAATTCTGCTTTTTCCTAGCCATAGTGCTCAGGTGAGCAATATGGCCCCTGGGCCTTTTGTTTAAAATCTCGTGATCATGCAGGAAGTATGAACATATTCCTGATCTCGTTCATTATACTCAAAACGTTTGACATCTTTATGTATCATACCCTGTACAAAATGTTCCACCTGGAAAAAGGCATAATCAAGACAGACTTCTCAGTAAAATTCCAGGCGTAAAACTTACTATAAATGTTAAAGCAATATAAGCAGAAACCAAGCGTTAACCAAGCGGAGACTAGCTGGAAATTTGAGGCGAAAATGTAATTAGTTCCGCCTGGAAATTGACATTCTGCCTGCATGGAAATTGAAATTCCACCTAGAATTGAAATAACAGGATTCCGCCTGAATATAGATTCCATTTAAACTGTCCAAAATATTTCTTTTTATAATTTCCAGCTATTTTCCCACTGAACTAAATTCAGCCTAGAATTTGATGACTGGAATCTGTTAAATTTAGGTGGAATCTCTGAGAGCCTGGAATTTGTGGATTCGGTGGAATACCCTTGGTGTCCAACGAAATTCTGGGCGGAATCCACCTTAATTGTTTGTACAGGACTAAATCATAATCACTAAAATGTTTAATTTCACATCAGTCAGTCGTAAAATTAAGTGCCAACTTGACTCAGAATTACCTTACTACCTGCTGAGATGCTAGAAAGCTAAAAATACATGCAGGGTTTTCTAGTAAATGTTGTTGAAAATCGTAATTTATTCATTTTGTTTTCCAGAAATTTTTATTGGTCTGTTGGGACTTACTAGCGACAGATTTTATTAGTCCAAATGAAAATGTATTAGTCTGATCAGACTAACGGACTAACATTAGTGTTGAACCCTGACATTAAAATATCTCAGGCATATATTTAGTCAGGCCATGCTTACACTGTGTAAAACATGATGCTGGAAAGTTGAATTGAAAATTTAAGTCTCCTTTATCAGTCTCTAACAAAAACTTTTAACTAAATCAGTAGAATTAATTTAAAATTCATAGTCTTTCCGAAATGTTTAGACTTTATATTTTGCAATAATTACTTAAGTGTTCATTATTGATATCCCTTATCTTAATTCCTGAAACTGACAAATCACAGTAGCCTAGACGGTAGTTGTTGTCGGTACTCGCATTATAATCAATAGGTCCCTGTTCAATTCTTGTTCCTAGCACCTTGTCAATCCAAGATGTTTGAAATAGGTAATGAGATTGTTCGATTACTAAGCTGTGACTCTATAAGTGAAAGATGCATGTATTTTAAATGAAACCTTAAAAATCAAGGTCTCATTTCATGGTAGGCAAAATAAAAAAAAAAACCCTCCAGTGTTAAGCTACTAGTATACATTGTAGTGAAACCAAATATCGAAATTTTATGATATGGTGTCATATGTTTTTTTTTTTTCAACCACAAATTAAATCCCCTCAAATCATGAAAATTTAAACCAGTGAAAATAACCAATTTTGCATTAATTGAGAAACTTGCATGTATTTGAAAGCTTCCTGAAATACCAGTAGTGTAGATTCAAGTTTGTTCAATTCATGGACCCTAGGGGTAGCGTAGGGCCACAGAAGAGGATCAAAGTTTACATGGAATGACAGAAACATGATTTAAATTAGTCATATTTATTATATCCATGTCCTTACCAAATTTCTGTTGCACTTTTCTCAGCAACTACTCATCGAAGGTGCTTAATATTTTAGCACGCTCTCTGTTTAGGCATGCCATATGGTAGGATGTATTTTTGTAGGAATCCCATGTTAACTTCCTGTTTATCCCTCCATCTGTCCGTACTAAATTTCCATCACAGTTTTCTCAACAACTGTTAAGGATGATGCTTGAAAGTTTAGCACACTTTTAAATTGTTTAGGCATGCCATATGGTGGGATTCATTTTTGTATGAATTTGACGTCAACTTCCTGTTTACCCCTGTGCTTGTCCGTACCAAATTCAAATCAGTGCGGGAATTATAATTACTAGTGAGCATTGGCTCGATCACAGACTTCTTGTTTTCTATTTGATAGGAATGTCTTTTACTTTAATTAGCTAAAATACTTATTTAGTTCTTCACAAATATTCTAAGAATGTTCTTTTTTTATAATATGTGTAACCATTACTGTTTCTTGAGTCAAGATTTTTTTTAATTTATTTTATTGGTATTTATTTCTACTAGAAGCAGCTACTAGGGAAGATTTAATGAAGGAAGATGAGGAAGTGGAGAAAAAGCTAAAGAACAAGGAGGACAAGGTGAAGAAAGGACAAGGTTATTACATTATGTATCTCACAGTATTTTTACAAAGCCCTCTCAAATCCTGATTTATGTAGTTTTTTTGTAAAACTTAAGAATGAATTCTTATTTAGTTCTTGATCCTTAAATATAAATGAAGAAGGTAACAATTTTTACAGGGCACAGTGACTTGCAGTGTGTGTCATGTAACATTATTACAACATCTATATCATGGGTCCATAATTTTGAGTAAGTCATTCATCAACCACTTTATCTGTACTGGAAACAATTTCTGAGAGGGATGAAGTGATGGAAGATAATGAGCCAGAGGGTGGAACGGAAGAGAAAGGGAAAGAAATAAAGAAAAAGGCAGAATGAAAAAGGACTAGGTAATAATTATCATCTTCCCCATCTTCCCCATCAATGTATTTCTTCAAGTCAACAAAATTACCCTGTACTTATCTTGTTCTTTCATAAATATTTTGAGAAAAAATATCAAAACATCAACTTTGACTGGATGTAGTGACTTGCATGTGTGTAATTAGCTATGGTCGATACAATGACCTTGTCAGCAAAAACAATCTTTCATTACATGTAAGTCGAATGCGGACTGATGTTTTTAATACTAATTGTTTGGCCATTATTTACACATTGAATTGTCTGTTTACACATTGAATTGTCTACAGACTTTTCCGTTTTCCGGATCATGACAAGGAGCACACATCAAATGTGAATGATTGGCAGAGGATGTTTACTCCTATATTGCACCTGATCCCACCTCTGATGTTTTTAGTGGTCCGTGTTTGCTCCTGATTTGTATTTTTTCTATGGACTCTTGAGCTTCGTTATCTCCATAATTATATGATTGTACAGTGAAAACTGTCTAATCTGACACCTGTGTAATCCGTCACACTGTAAATTCCAACGTTAAATTTCATTCCCATTTTACTTTTTTCTATGTTTTTTTTACACTGATCAATACGACGCCCTATCTATTCCGACAAAAAAATTTGTCTCCCAGTGCATGTCGGATTACACAGGTTTCACTGTATGATTAAGTGGTATTTGAGTACTCTTTACTGGAACCCAGGAACATCTTTATTTTTTTTTACTTTGTGTCATCTAGTTTAAGATAATGAGATTGGACTGAATATAGGTAATTCATCATGAAAAATGTTACATGTTACATGACTATGCCCTGACTTTACCTTAGGCTGAAAATGTCGATCAAGACACATTTCTAGTCTTCTTTGCAAGTACTTGTAAATCTGTTCAGTCATGTTTTTTTTTCTTTTGTGTGAATCAAGCTCACACTTTGAAACTTTGAATCATAACCTTGTTAATTGATGCCTGTTATAGGGGAAACGTTATTTCTTGACCAGGCTTTAATAGCAGCAAGAAATATAGGTGAATTTGAGGTCATGGAAATACCAAAACGTTTCTGTCGAAGTCAAGCAGGTACATGAAAACGAATAAGTTACTAACCACTCTTTTCTCAGATAAATCACTAAAAAGGTTCAGTATGCCAAGATTTTTCATGAATCTGGTAAAATCCGAAACTTGACAAATTGAGTTTTTGTCAGTTTAGTAGTTTATCGAATTGGATTTTTTTTTTTACAGAACTTGCAATAGAAGAAAAAGTTGAGGAAATGAAGAGGAAGAAATTGAAGATGAAAAGAAGAGCTCTGGGAGGAAAAAAGTGAGCATAGTGCAGTTATTTCTATCATTTTACATTTTATTGCTGCATTATCAGATGCTGTCTGAATCATAAACCTTATCTACTGATAAAGATGATGGGCAAACAAGGCAAGTAAATGCCTATTGTGTGACAAAAAAAGATGTAAAAAGTTAAATCTTAATCATGTCAAAATTTTCTTTGATACTTCATGTAACATTATTGTATACCTTATGTAAAATCTTTGCAATTTGCTACAATCTTATAACGATTAATATTATTGATCTATGAAATAGCAGATACACACCAAAAGAGGGCAAAAATGGTCATTTTTTCCTCCTATATCATACTTTAAGATTAATATTATTGATCTATGAAATAGCAGATACACACCAAAAGAGGGCAAAAATGGTCATTTTTTCCTCCTATATCATACTTTTTAAATATGAGTAGGTCTTCACTCCATATTTTGGTAAGATTATACTCGAAGCATATTTAAAACTTTTCCTATTTCGTTTGACAAAAACATGGTGAAATGACCAACTCTTCTAAAAATAGACTTTTATGTCACAACTAGTGATGGGAATTGGTAAGAATTTCATAATCGATGATCAGGCTACTGTAACTAACTAATTATCAATTATAATCGGACATTTACAAAGTCTGTCAATTTTAGTTTATTAAATGGTAAGAATGGTTGAATAACTACTTTCTGTGGCGGTCCAGCTGTAGTTGGAATAACTGTGTCTCGGAAAAACCCCTAGCCCTTAGGACAATATCATTTTAACGACAGAATGTTCTATCTAGTCAAGCTGGTTCTACGCTCATTTTGTAGAATCCAAAGTACGTCCATACCCAGGAATGAGCGTTGTTACCCGGGTATGAATACAATGTCTCTTTGTCTGTGCCATTACGATATGCATATAAGTTAATAGAAAAGTTGAGGCTGGAATATTTGGCTTAAAAACTATTACGCTTTTAAAATAAAATAAATAACCCGATTAATCAGAATAAAAAATTTGTAATCGAGTGCTTGGATTATGCCAGCAATCGACTGATTTTCGATTATAATCGATGATTGGAACACCACTAGTCACAACAACATTCATATCATGGTTTGACATTAACTTTTATAAGTACTAGATCAGTCGTGCTACTTCCCATAATTTTTACTAGCTCTGACCATAAATTCACTAGCCCTGACCAAACTTGAAAATTTTCTATTTATAACCTCCTATTATAATGGGAAAAAAGTTTTGAAACCATACTACAGTGTATCTCTTGCATGTGTTCATGTATACATTTTGACAGACTGTTGAGCCCATAGGTAGCAGCCCAATGAGTGAACATGCGAATGTTATAAGCTTTAAAGAACATTAATTCAAGGAACTTAAATAAAATTATTACCGTAAATATACATGTAAATAAATTAAAAACTATAATATTCAATGAATATTTATACCAAATGATACTGAACAAAGCTGAGGTTTCAATTGTGACTTGTCTATTACAGCCAGTCTAAAAAAAATAGCAATTGTGTCATGCAGGAAAGTTTTCTTTTTCAGAGCAATGGCTGTGTTTGCAATCTGAAAATTAAGAAAATTTCTTTAAAAAGTTTTTAGTCAGAGCATTTATTTGAAAGACTGAAATGAGAGTTAACATTTATTTCATCCACACAACCAGTCGGGCAAGTTATTGAACATTTAACATGATGGACCATGCATTTACTAGACTGGGTCAGTCGGACGTGCCTTAGTGTCAAACCCTGCATATCTTTCAGAAATATATTTGAAATCCATTTAGTCAAGAGCCACATTTTTAAACGTGATTTACATATGTAAATGCCCATTTTTGTCATGAGCTACATGTATGTAGTTTAGTGGTTAGCATGTTAGTCTCTTAGAAAAAAAAACTGATATTCAGGATTTAATTTCATTGCTTGGGTTTCAACCCCTAGAATACCACTTTTTTTTTTTTTTATCATAGAATGATTTTTGCTTAAAGAATTTTCCACAGAAAAGTTTTGTTTGTAATATAATGTTATACCTTTCAATAAGAAGAACTTTACTCTAAATACTAAACTCAGTATTTGAATATGACTTTTATACATTTGAAGCTATAGGCTTTTTGCATGCCTTGTTCACCCATCTCCTTATGCACATTATGAAACATGTAAAACTAATTATTACATATTACTGTTACTTGGTAGACTTTTAGTGTAATTAAAATTAGATCTTTCATTTTACTCCATTTATTAATATATGTTACTAATGAGAGACAGATAAATATACAGGAAAAGCTAATTAAAATGAATCTAATTTGTGTCGCTTGTTGAATGTTTTCATTTATAATATTCTTATAAGTGACTTGCTTGGATACATGTTTTCATTTTGAAAAAAATCCTTATTTGTCTAGATGCATGTATTCTGTTGTGAGTACTTATATAGTCTTAACTATAAAGATTCCAACCTTTTGATATGTAAATTATAGAACAAGATGAGATTAAAGTTTGGCACTTTAAACTGGAAAGCTTGATAGGAAACCAAAGGCAAGGACAAAAGAAAAGGATAACCCAAAATTTCAGAAAGTGTTTGTTAAGTTGTGAATATACTTTTCGCTGTGTATTCTTTTTAGTGCCTTTGTCGGAAAGCAATGTCCGCTAATTCAAGTACAACGCTAAATGTCTTGCACAAATACACATAAAGAAGAACATTAACAAATGCTCTAAATCAAATCCCCGCTAACTTGCTCAATAATCAACTTCTGCCAAATATCGTACATGCTAAATATTATACATTTACAGTAATTCAAAAGGCTAACAAGTTCTAAAGGATAATCATTTAATACAAATCAAATACACAAAATGTTAACTAGCTGTTTTAGGAATTTTAATTTTAAAATTTATTCTTGTCCTTTTGCTTTTAAAGAAGTGTTGTTGTGTCTTAATTAAGATTGGAAACTTGATCACTGATATATTTTTATTTCATTTTTATGTAAAAGCTTTAATGGTTCTATTATATAATTATGTATTTCAGTTCCATTTGTAAGATGTGTGGACAAAAGAAAAACAGCCATAGAGTGCCAATGTGGAGTGGAATAAGTCAGTATGACTTAAACATGGTCAATTGAAGTGTTTGAATGCCCCTCCAGAAAGCAGAACAATCTTTGAATTTGCAGGAAAGAGTATAAAATTTGCTGTTAAAATATCATAACAGCTAGACAAAGATTAAATAACAACTACATGTACATCTAAAGAATTCTTTTGTCATAATAGTGATTCATGTGCTAGTACATGTGACAAGCGCTATAACGACCTAATATAAGTGTGTTTTAGGAGCATGTTGACTCTATTGTAAATGTATTGACTCCTTATATGACCTCATTTATATATAACATTATATGAATGGTAGTGTAGTGACTTGAAATGTGTGTTGGTAATATAGCTCGTTATGTGTGGTAATTTTGTTAATTGTTTTACATGTATGATGGTACATATAGTATGGTGACTCATGTGTTGGGAATTAATGTATAATTTTATGTGTGTTACTGGTATAACTCATAATGTGTGTAAATATTGTTTTTTGTAATATATATTAGTAGTGTAGTGACTCGACATGTGTGTAAGTAGTGTAGTGACTCGACATGTGTGTTATGAGTGTAGCTTATGATGTGTGGTTATTTTGTGTATGTATGTAGTATGGTGACTCATGTGTTAGGAATGTATAATTTTATGTATGTTACCAATATGCCTCATCGTGTGATTTAAAATGGTTATTTGTAATGTATATATTAGTAGTAAAGTGACTCGACATGTGTGTTAGTAGTGTAGTGACTCGACATGTGTGTTAGTAGTGTAGCTTATTATGTGTGGTAATTTTGTTATTTGTTATGTGAGTTGTACATGTAGTATGGTGACTCATGTGTTGGGAATGTATAATTTTATGTGTGTTACTTGTATAACTCATTGTGTGTGTTTTAATATAGTTATTTGTAGTGTATATATTAGTATTGTAGTGACTCCACAAGTATGTTAGTGTGTAGTGACATGACATGTGTGTTAGTAGTGTAGTGACTCGACATGTGTGTTTGAAGTGTAGCTTATTATATGTGGTATTTTTGTTATTTGTTATGGTTGTTGTATATGTAGTATGGCAACTCATGTGTTGGGAAAGTATATTTTAATTTGATGTGTGTTACTGGTATAGCTCATTGTGTGTTTTAATAATTTTTTTTGTAATGTATATTTTATTAGTGTAGTGACTCGACATGTGTGTTAGTAGTGTAGTGACTCGACATGTGTGTTAGTAGTGTAGTGACTCGACATGTGTGTTAGTAGTGTAGTGACTCGACATGTGTGTTAGTAGTGTAGCTTATTATGTGTGGTAATTTTGTTATTTGTTATGTGTGTTGTACATGTAGTATGGTGACTCATGTGTTGGGAATGTATTGTTATATTCTTGCTCCAAAAGATACTGTTTTACCCTTGTCTGTCTAGCTGTGTGTGTGTCTGTCTGACTGTCCATAACAAATTTTTGGTCACAGTTTTCTCAGCAACTGCTCATTGCAGATGCTTGAAATTTTAGCATACTCTTTGTTTAGGCTTGGTGGGAATCATTTTCATACAAATCTGATGTCAACTTCCTGTTTATCCATGTGTTTGTCCATACCACACATAACACATTTTTGTCGCAGTTTTCTAAGCAACTACTTATTGCTTGAAATTTTAGCACACTCATTGCTGAGGCATGTCATATGGTGGGATTCATTTTTGTATGAATTTGATGCCAACTTCCTTTTTATCTGTGCGTCTGTCCGTACCATACATAACGAATTTTTTTCGCAGTTTTTTCAGCAATTACTCAGAGTAGATGCTTGAAATTTTAGCACATTCTTTATTTTGGCATGCCATATCGTGGGATTTATTTTTGTACAAGTCTGATGTCAACTTCCTGTTTATCTGTGTGTCTGTCTATACCATATATAACAAATATTTGTTGCAGTTTCTCATCAACTACTTATTGCAGATGCATGAAAGTTTACACACTCTTTGTTTAGGCATGCCATATGATGGGATTCATTTCTGAATTTGATGTCAACTTCCTGTTTAACTGTGCGTCTGTCTGTATAATATGGAACAAATTTTTGTCAAAGTTTTCTCAGCAACAACTCATTGCAGATGCTTGAAATTTTAGCACACTCTTTGTTGACGCATAATTGTCATATGGTGGGATTCATTTTTGTATGAATCTGATGTCAACTTCCTGTTTATTCATGCATCTGTCCATAGTTGAACTTGTGAATATACACATGATAGTGTATATTCAAATCACAGCGGAGGTATTACCAGTGAGCATTGGCTCACAGACTTCTTGTTTTATGTGTTACTGGTATAGCTCATCATGTGATTTAATGTTGTTATTTGTAATGTATATATTAGAAGTGTAGTGACTCGACATGTGTGTTAGTAGTGTAGTGACTCGACATGTGTGTTTGTAGTGTAGCTTTTTATGTGTGGTAATTTTGTTATTTGTTATGTGTGTTGTACATGTAGTATGTTGACTCATTACGTGTTGGGAATATGTGATTTTATGTGTGTTATTGGTAAAGCTCCTCATGTGTTCGTATATTGTTATTTGTAATATACAGTGAAACTTGTCTTATTCGGATGTTGTGTACTCCAAAAACTTGACTTATACAATGTTAACTTTAAGTCACCTGCAGTAGACTCAATTGTTCTAAATGTTGTCTTATCCAGAATGTCGTCTAATCCAGCGAATTTCTCGACATGTGTGTAAGTAGTGTAGTGACTCGACATGTGTGTTATGAGTGTAGCTTATGATGTGTGGTAATTTTGTTATTTGTTATGTGAGTTGTACATGTAGTATGGTGACTGGTGTGTCGGGATTGTATAATATTTAATGTGTTACTTGTATAACTCATTGCGCGATTTAAAACTGTTATTTGTAAGGTATATATTAGAAGTGTAGTGATTCGATATGTGTGTAAGTAGTGTAGTGACTCAACATGTGTGTAAGTAGTGTAGTGACTCGGCATGTGTTTTATGAGTGTAGCTTATGATGTGTGGTAATTTTGTTATTTGTTATGTGAGTTGTACATGTAGTATGGTGACTGGTGTGTCGGGATTGTATAATTTTAAATGTGTTACTTGTATAACTCATCGTGCGATTTAAAACTGTTATTTGTAAGTTATATATTAGAAGTGTAGTGACTCGACATGTGTGTAAGTAGTGTAGTGACTCGACATGTGTGTTAGTAGTGTAGTGAATCAACATGTGTGTTAGTAGTGTAGCTTATTATGTGTGATAATTTTGTTATTTGTTATGTGAGTCGTACATGTAGTATGGTGACTCGTGTGTTGGGAATGTATAATTTTATGTGTGTTACTTGTATTGCTCATCGTGTGATTTAAAATTGTTATTTGTAAGGTATATATCAGTAGTGTAGTGACTCAACATGTGTGTAAGTAGTGTAGTGTCTTGACATGTGTGTAAGTAGTGTAGTTACTTGACATGTGTGTTAGTTCTGTAGTGACTCCACATGTGTGTTAGTAGTGTAGCTTATTATGTGTGGTACTTTTGTTATTTGTTATGTGAGTTGTACATGTAGTATGGTGACTCATTTGTTGGGAATGTATAATTTTATGTGTGTTACTGGTATAGCTCATTGTGTGTTTAAATATTGTTACATGTATTTGTAATACATATTTTGTATTGTTATTTTGATTTGTTTGTTGTACATGTAGCATGGGATTCATTTTGTGTTGGGAATGTAGAATTTTACCTGCGGTAGTGTACATGTAGCTCATTTTGTGTGCTAATATTGTTATTTTTATGTGTAATAGTCATGTAGTGACTCAATATGTGTGTAAGTAGTGTAGCTCATTATGTGTTTTCATGTTGAGTTAGTTTAGAAGAGTGTTGACTTACTGTGTAAGTTAGAGTAGCCTCTTGCTATGTGTGAGCATAATATAAAAAGACACTTTTTTATGATGTGTATATAATTATTAAAACATTGCTAAATATAATATTATATCAACCTCTATTGATAAACTTGCATGTGTTTGAATTTCTAATGTAATGTAAGCTACATGAACAGATCATATTTTGACTGAATTTTGAATGAGCACAATTTGTGATGATTTTTATTTTTGAAATAAACAGAAATTTAATTTTCTTTGTATATGTTTATTTTTTCGTTAGATTGCAGAATAAAACTACATAACTTTTGCAGTATTAAATATCTAGAAATGCTTTTCATGATCAGAACGGTGGATACTTATACAGTTAAAATATACCACTGAGGGAGTTAGCAGGATTCCAGTTCCCCAAGGCCAAGACTATTTCCCGAGGCGAAGCCGAGGGAAATAGTCCTGGTCGAGAGGAACTGAAATCTTGCTAACTCCCGCAATGATATACTTTTAACTGTTTTATTATACTGATAAAAACTGAAAATTTAGAGTTAGAGGATTCAGATAGCATGATTTCATAGCAGGGATTAGCTCACTAACTAACTAACACACGGGGATTAGTCCATTCACATATCATACCAATGTAAAAGTAAAATCTAGAGGATTACGGATAACCGGGAATTAGCTTTCGAAGCAGGGATTAGCTCACTTGACTAACGCACGGGGACTAATCCTTTCATTACGATTTCTAGGGAATTAGTCACATCTAATGTTCTATAGGGAAAAAATCAGTAGAGATATGATAAAAATATATAACATGTTATTCTGCTTGGGAGAACGAGTTAAGGGGAAGATCAAATTGGGTAAGAATTATAGACCAATGCAAACTGATGTACAATGTATATAAAAGCAGATAAATGTTTGTCGGTGGTATGCTGTAAATTTTAAATGATAAAAGCTTGACTTCAACTGTAGGAAATTCTCGAATGGGACAAAAATACACACAATCAATCAATCAGCTGTAGGAAATATCCCTACTAAAATATCATGGTAAAGTTAGATCAAAATAACGATAGTGGTTTTATAATGCACATTATTGTGAAACCTAAAAGACATCTTAAAAGAAACGGGGCGTATAAGGCGGGGACAATCACCCGCTCTGAGATAATAAATTTCTCAATCTTTAAAGTTCATGGAAAAGTTATATTTTTCTAAAATAAAGTTTTCAGGAATGGCATTTTCAACATATTTGATTCATTTATTTTATTAAATGGCATTGGTTGATGATTTGTTTTAAAGTTGTAAGTAAAGCATATTTAGTGGAAAACTGGTTTTTTGGAGCCACACAAAATGATTTTTGAAAATGAATGGGACAAGTTCCCTTTCTACATTAACCTTTAAATGACCGAAAAGTAAATGTAAAATCAACTTAAAGTTTTAAAAAATGGAGTCTGAGCCCATTCCATTTGAAAATCGAACATTATAGAAAAAAATA